TTGTTCCAACGGAACTGATGACCAAGCCACCAGAGATTTAGCCAAGGCTCTGATAACATGGGGAGATTAAAAGAGTCTTGATCCTGATCACAATATACATAAGATATGTTTTTCTTGAACCAGGAGGAGATAGTAATCTTAGATATCTCTGAATCAACATTAGTTTAGTCTGAAATGAACAATCGGCAAGCGATTATGTCTAAATGTCAGTGTAAGCTGCATCTACCAACATAGCGCTCAGATTGGGCACAAAGTCTTGTCCTTTCAGATCTATCATCTGATATTAACCTTCCCTCTGAATTCATGGATTTAACATCTATAGCATGTAAATCAGATACTCTGGATGCTGTAGCAAAACTAGGAGGATTGCCATCTTAAATGATAGGAACTTGAGAGAAGTGACCTGCACTGGCTCATATGGTGACTCTTGGAGGGTTGTATTACCAAGATAAAATCCCACTTAAGAAAAAAAAATGTAGATGAAAATATGTCCTAAATCTGGAAGGAACTGATAATCTTGTGAAGAAAAGAATGGGATCACACTGAGAGTCCCTGTATGGTGATAGGGGAGTCCAAGACTCCTTGCTCTCCTCTACACTGGATAACTCGTCACTGCTTAGGTGATAGGGGAGTCCAAGACTCCTTGCTCTCCTCTACACTGGATAACTCATCTCTACTTAGGTGATAGGGGAGTCCAAGACTCCTTACTCTTCTCTACACTGGATAACTCGTCTCTACTTAGGTGATAGGGGAGTCCAAGACTCCTTGCTCTCCTCTACACTGGATAACTCGTCTCTACTTGGGTGATAGGGGAGTCCAAGACTCCTTGCTCTCCTCTACACTGGATAACTCGTCGTCCCTACTTAGGTGATAGGGGGAGTCCAAGACTCCTTGCTCTCCTCTACACTGGATAACTCATCTCTACTTAGGTGATAGGGGAGTCCAAGACTCCTTGCTCTCCTCTACACTGGATAACTCGTCTCTACTTAGGTGATAGGGGAGTCCAAGACTCCTTGCTCTCCTCTACACTGGATAACTCATCTCTACTTAGGTGATAGGGGAGTCCAAGACTCCTTGCTCTCCTCTACACTGGATAACTCGTCTCTACTTAGGTGATAGGGGAGTCCAAGACTCCTTGCTCTCCTCTACACTGGATAACTCGTCCCTACTTAGGTGATAGGGGGAGTCCAAGACTCCTTGCTCTCCTCTACACTGGATAACTCGTCCCTACTTAGGTGATAGGGGAGTCCAAGACTCCTTGCTCTCCCTACTGGATACTGGATAACTTCCTTGCGTCTCTACTTAGGGTGATAGGGGAGTCCAAGACTCCTTGCTCTCCTCTATACTGGATAACTCGTCCCTACTTAGGTGATAGGGGGAGTCCAAGACTCCTTGCTCTCCTCTCCTCTACACTGGATAACTTCGTCTCTACTTAGCATCATACAAGGCAGCCTAATGGAACTTATCGGATCTGAGTTGACTAAACAGATTGTGCCATAGCATTAGGCGTAGAAAACTGTCTGACAACAGCTGTAGGCCACACTGGAACAACTGGGTATACAATACAACTGTGATGTTGAATCTACTGCAGAATCTTTCCCAAAAGAATTTGAAGGGTGGAAAACCGAAAGCTATCATCCCATGCCATGAGATGATTTCATAAATTGTGAATGTCAAAGTTTTAATAATTACAAGACCAGGTGTGAGAATCCCTATCAAAAATTGAAGCACTGGCGAGGAAAGACCCATCCCATCAAGCATGATATGGGATTGTCTATTGCTATCCCTAGCCATTTAAGCAAGTCTTAGTTTGACAATATAATGAATATTGGAGATCATTTATCCTGCCAGCGTTATCCACTGAACACAGACTTGCTTGAAATGACGAAATAATTTCCCACAGTCCCTAAACTTCTTACAGTGCCTCTCCAAAGGCAAGGTCACATTCCTCAAGATCCTACCTTGATCAAATGAGAGAATCACTTTTTAATTTGCTGTGATAAACTTAATTCCCTCTGTAAGGCATGACAAAATAACAACACACGATGTTTACACCGTCCGTTCGAATGTATTAGCCGGCCAATCAGCTTCATTCAATCCCAGTAAACCCTATTTACCAACCAATGAAATAAATCACTTTATATTAGCTTCAACATGGTCATGGCATGGCAGAAAGTAGGTCGACCAAATGTCAGATGTTTTTAAAGAACATGGGAGTGATGAAAATATTAAACAGACGACAGAATACACAGCCCAAGATCCGCAAGGAAGTAGAAGATAATAGGCTTGTAAACAATAATGGATGAAATTCTATAACACGCCCTTCCCATGTACAATGCATATGCTCACAATGTTGACATATAACCTTTTATGAGTCATGCTGCCATGAGGCTAGAAAGAGACAATTGAATAAAGTCACCTGCCTGTAGTGAACTGGATATCGGTCTGGTTTCCAAGCAAACAGTATATCGCATTATGCCGTCCGTTATCAGGTTCCTACACTTGTCCTGACTCCCTGAACTGCCCCGCCTCGTGAGGCAGCAGATTGATTTAAACCGTAGCTAGTCTCGAAATAGCCGTGGTGATCCTAATTCAGTAATAATAATAATGATGATAATACTGAAAATTATTGCAAAATCCAACCACAAAGTGAATGCTCAAACATGTACTATAAAGAAATGTTTGAGTTAATAGTGCAGTGAAAGAATGTTATCAACCATGGATGCAGTTTTATAGCAATCTACAGAAATGGTGCAGTGAAAAAAGCGCTTCTCATAAGAAGCCATGGCAGTCTATATAAAAAGTATTCAATAAGAATTGCTTACAGATCGCAGTTGTCCGGTTGAAGGGAATTAACAGTTCACCAAGCTATTCTGGTGCTATGCCGCTTTGACTCTTGTATGTGATACAGAGTACTTAAAACACCTGTACCAGGTTGACTGAAGCCGTGGTCATAGGTAGATTTCGATGCAACTAATGAAAACGAAAGTAGTAGGCTAAGAACTAGGCTCAGATGACGAAAAACTATAGCTTCCTTATACAGCGGCAAGTGTGACAGATTGTCGAGTGGAGAAAAGATGGACAACTCCCTGACTCACTTATGCCAGTCCATTGATAATGTAGACATCTACCAAAAGCTGAGAAATCCTGATTCCGTTTATAAGTGATGAATGGGGAAGAGATGGTTTATGAGTCCCTTCTGCATGTCGCAAAAGGTAACTAATGAGATCGGGAGGTCAGGCTTGCTGACTTGGTTAACCCAGTATGACACCATATCCCAACTGCATAGATCGATACTCCTGTTGTTGATCACTGGCTTGTCTGATCCCAAGTAGATAAATTACAGGACCCATCATAAGGCTGGAATATTGATTCCAGTCTCTGAATCATTTCAAAGGAAGTGAGATGACATAACATATTCCCTTGATTAGCCATAGCATCCGATAAGGATAGATAAACCATGTCCAGGAAAAATGCGCCAACGCCCTCTTGAGCTGTGTCCATTATAACCCGGAGTAAACTTGGAAAACTGGAGGAGCAAAGCCCTTTGACCCGTGGGCTAGACCGACTCCGTTCCTGTCAGCCTGAAGCCCTTGGCTTCTCCCCTGAAGGGGACAGGCCTCCCGCGTATGCCAGGGCATGGTAACCGGCTTTCCAGGTCATAGCACCCCTGGTTTCCGTCAGGTAATGACTTTGGCCCCGGCTCGTGCCATCGACCACCAAGTCATTGTGGCTGTCTGCCGTCTTGCCGAGGGTAAATATGTCTCCTCAATTGCTTCAAAAGCTGGCTAAATTCACCTCATTTCTGAACTCCATGTCCCGTCATGACGGACTTATCCATAGCAGCCTGAATATCAGCTAGTAAATCCGAAATGGCAGACATATCCATGAGGGTGGTTGATTAGATTTTGACCTAGATCTGGATTTAGGCTCAGATTAATAGACAATGAATGTGATCCCTTGTTGGCTTTTTTCAGTTCCCAAGAATTCCGATGATGAAGATACTTACGCTTCCTAGCCATAGAACAAAATTTCACCATAATAAGCCAACTCTCATTTGACATAACAGACCTCTATCTGATAAAAGCACAGCAATCCTTGAAGAATGAGACACATAGAGAGGGGATCGGCGTCCGCGCAATAAACTTCTGGCATTGGAGACATATGTTATGTGCCATATTCATTCTAGTCAAAAGGGTGAGAAATTTTCAAAGTCCGAAAACAAGAAAATATACATAAATACAATATCAAATAGTAATGCGATTGAACGTTAATATGGAATGCGATGTGACTGACCTATTTGTGAAGAAATGAAGACTTGATTGAAAAATAAATCTCACTGATTCTCTGCACGTCATACGTGTGGACCATACAGAAAAATTATGAAGGGTTCTAGGAGAACAATACAGTGATGTCAGGACCAAGGGAGATAACTCAGGGGTAGATTAGGTATACCACTAGGAATAGCTATGACTTAGTGTTAAAATTTCTTTTGATTTTCTGTTTGTATTCTGTGTATCCACAGGAATAAGGCTGCCATAATCCAGAGAGAATGTTTAAATTATAAGTAGTAAGCATTTGTTTTATGTGACCATCAGTCTGGTCACTACCGTGAACCTTGTCTGTCCTTTCTGTGTTTTTGACAGATGTGCTGAAATGCTGTTGAATTTCGTGAATTTTAACTGTGTCAAGGTGATCTTTAGAGTGAGTGAGTTTGGTTTTACGCCGCTTTTAGCAATATTCCAGCAATATTCCAGCAATATCACAGCGGGGAACATCGGAAATGTGCTTTACACTGATCTTTACACACTGAAAATTTTGACTAGCAAATGTAAAGGGGGTGGATTTAATTTTTGCCCGAATGCACATATCACAGGTTCCCCTGGGGAATTAAACCTGGGTCTTTGGGTGACAAGACTAGCGCCCAATCACAAGACACTCGATAATTAAGGATACAAGATCGCAAAAGCAAAACGTTAGAAACAGGAAACACAACTCACCTGGGGTGGTTTTCCTGCTCTTTCAAAGAAATCACAATAGATGTATCCCTGCACCCCATAGGCCTCGTGGACCACAGCCTGAAATAGGATTATTATTATTATAGGACAGAGGTACAGATAAGCTGTGTATCTGCGTAAATTGCGCAATTATTTATGTGTAAACTCAATTCTTATTAAGTCTATTGCATACAAGTATGCTTGAATTTTTGTAAATACTCAACAAATTTGATCTTACATGCATACACACAAAAAATGTTGAATCATAGCTTGCGTACCGGTGCATAGATAAAATAACTGAGGTATATTCAGAGGTTCTATTTCAACACATGAACCAGGCAACTTGCAGTCTTTCTTATCATTTCTCATATTACAGATCCAATCTAAATAACGTAAACTTTGTTATAATTTTACAATTAATGGAAAATTAGGATACCCAATTGAGATGAACACATGCGAGTACATAACTCAATGATCCAAATGTTATCTGCAGCTCTGCATAGGACATTTTTTACAGCACACATGTCCACACAGCTAGTACATGCATAAGGTGCTGGGGTTTTTTCCCTCGATCACTGGATGTCAATCTCAATGGTACATCGTATTATCAATATCATTATCAACTCCCTGGGGTTCATACAACTCTTGCAGCCACTAGGCGCACCAAGTTATTACGTCTTTCCCATCTTTACGGTTACCCATTCACAGCTGGGTGGACTGGGACACATAGTCACAGTACTTTGTCCAAGTTTACTGCACATTGCTGTACTTGCAACTAGGTGTTGGCATGTATTCGTGTGGCCACCATCTGGTCATTTACCAATGGTTTCATGGGTTCTCTTAAGTGCACAGGATAGTGTACTGTACACTAGGGGTTGTGACAACACTGAAAGAGTCTGCACACAAAGTTGACTTCAAGGTCTTAACACCTGGTCACAGGTGGGTTAGATCCCGGCATCTCAAGCTCGCTGTATCAGTCGCCTGGCGCCTTTAAAACAGCTCAACCACCACGCTCCCATAGCGTATGTGTGGACCTGAACCGTCATATATCGTATTGGTTTGTTGATTTGTTGATTAAAGCAGCATTCTAGCACGACATTGTGTGATACTCGATTCTGATTGGTAGAGAGCTCATCAAAACCGTACTTAAATGGCAGTTTAAGACTGCTAATTAAAGTGACCGAATCACCGCGTATGAACACAATAAACTCGTTGACACTTCTGTTTGTAAACAAACATGTCGAACATCGGCGATTTCTACCTCGGCAGCATCTTTGATGTTTTTGAAGTAAAAAGCGAATTGTTTGTAGAAGAATTTCTTGACCCTAATCCCAGTGAAGAAACTACGAAGCTGGAAAATTCGTCAGCAGCGCAAAAGCGGCAGTATTCAAATCGGGTCTTGATCTAGCGGGCATGACGTCGACAACACATGTCGACTCACACGTCCTAACCTGACCGCTTCCATCTCGGCCGTTTCCACTCTCCACCTCTCCCACATAAAACGTGGCATGTCAGGTTTTTCTAAATTGGGAATAGTAGGTGGTTATCAACAATTATTTCCATGAATATAGTTTGCGGCGACTACACTTAGTGAGATGACGGCTTGAATTGGGGCAAGTCGGTTGTCATACAGTAGGGAAGATCAATAATTCGCATGAGAAAAATCAAATAATTGTACTTGCTCATAGTATAAACTGTATTTTTTTTATATATGTATGCTGCTTGTTACAAATACAAGCATACTGGTTCCTGAAATAAAGCGTTTATGTTGTTGAAAATGTCTTATTTTGTTCGTTACACGACCTGTCCCTCAACGGGATGACTTGAAGCGATTTCCAGGACAAAAGGCCCCTTCACGCCTTGTGTTCTTGCGCGCAAACAGTTCGTTTTTAAAACACTTATTAGCGGTGCTAGAATAAAGGATAAAGCTACTCTGTTTTCAATTTTGCGATCCTTCATTGTTCATTTAAGACCGCTAAATGTTTTATTTAAAAGCTCACTCTTAACGCATTCGGTTTTTAAATTACATTTAGCTGTCTTAAATCAACGATAAAGGACCGCAAAGTTGAAAACAGAGTAGCTTTATCTTCTAACACAGCAATGTTCCAGCTATAAGGTGGTTGTCTGTAAATAATCATGTCTGGACCAGACAATCCAGTGATCAACAGCAGGAGCTCTGATCTATGCAACTGGGATACAATGACATGTGTCAACCAAGTCAGCAAGCCTGACCACCCGATCTCGTTAGTCGCCTCTTACGACAAGCACAAGTTCACGGGTTCTTTTATCATGTCGTGGATAGAGTTACGCGATAAACCAACTCGATAACCTTAGCATCACAATCCAAAACAACTGACCAATGATCTTCCAAGAACTACATTTAAATAATCTGTTCATGTATTTCATGGCTAAATACTTCAAAGTATTTGCATCACATCAGTACATTTTGGTTCTTCAGGAGTTAATTCTATTCTAGGAAACTATAGCTGCAAATTGTTAGATGTAACATATGTTATATTTGGGATTACACTTTCACAGTAATGTACAGATTCTAGTACTTTTATTGGGTTGAATCAATATATGTTAGATAAAAACACTTTCTGAATGGTATTGTGTATTCAAATTGTTATACACTATATAAATTAGGGGATGGTTCATGGCAGTGTATTTCTACACTGCAACCAGTAACCTGTTCTAACTTATAGTCCATGCATAGGTAAATCTAAAAAATCTGCTTGTATTTAATATCAACCTCAATCTTTTTTGTTTTTAAATTGCATTTTTAAACCTCAAAAGAAATCTACCTACCAGCAAACCTTTAAGTGAAACTAATTTTCTCACTGAGATGAATAAATATTTTATAAAAATAACTTCGTACCAGTGTTTGCAATACTTCAATTTGCTAGTTCGGCAGCGGGCCATGTTGCTGCCTGCAGGCTTTAAAATCTACAGGCCCTGAAGGAAACCTGCAGGCCCGTGTTCTTAAAGTCTCAGACAAAATAGACTACACTGTACACAGTTTTACACTGTTTACTTATGTCATTATAACTGGTACAACACTGATTCCAGTTGAAAAGAAATGACAGATAATTTACTGAAGGCCACAAGGGCCTGCAAATATTTGAAACTGCCGGCCTGATACAATAACAACCGGCGCTGGGCCTCTAGGCTGGCGATTATTTCGAACGCTGCTTTGTACATCACAACAGAAGACACCTTAAGCCTTCCCACCCCTTTGTGTACTTTGTTAAGCTTACAAAACGTGCATGTGTTTTAAAAATACCTTTATTCTCATTCATACATACAAACGATAATTTCTCGATGTTTGCCTCGTTTCAAACCTGTGGGGCCAAAATATAACCTAATCACATTTTGTCTTTTCAGTGCAAAACTTGATGCCAGGAATGTCTCACCAGCTTATGAACGTCATGTGACCAGCACTCCCCTGGCTGTGTTTTCTGCCGCTGCAAAGTGACGTTGTAGAGGCTGCGGAACAAGTGGTTCAGACCCTCTATGCATGAGCCCAGGGAGAAGAAGGGAGACAACTCTGTTGAACTTGCGTTGCATCTGTTTGAATTACAAGCCAAAAAAATATATTTTCATTTCCAGAAACGGGAAAAATATTTTTCAGGAAAATGTTTAAATTGCAAAAGGCACCAGCTTACAATATGGTCTTTGCCCGTGCAGAGTTTTAAGAAAGCGTACCAATTATTTATAGATATTGTCCAGAATTACACACCACTATGAATAGTCAAAGTAAAAATTGTTGCCATGGAAAACAAAAAAAACCCATAAATCCCTAAATAATAAAATGCACCCCTTCAGCCCCTGACTAATACAAGTCCCAAGTTTGGATAATAACTGTTTTACAGTTTTGATTGCAGAAGCAACACCTAACACTTTTTCAGAAAAATCTAACTTGTTTCCATGGAAACAGGAACAAATTAACTTACAAATAAATCTGCAAATAGCAAAGGCTCAGCTTCAGATTCTGTTTGATATATTTGCAGAGTTTTTTTCAAAGATAAAGAATAGTTTTTGAGATGTGGAAACAAAATGAACCCTCTTACAAGAGTAAGTACAAATGGTTTCCATGGAACTTAGGGGAAAATAATGACAAAAAAAGCAAAAGGCACCCATTTAAGATCTTATAAACCATTTTTGCCTATTTGTGTTGAAATATATTGAATGGAACTGAAACGATTACTGATAGACAGACGATAGACAGACTATATCCCCAGGTGAGGGATGAAAAATCCTACTTGTCAGTCATTTATCATAAATCATATCACATAAATTCAATGCAAATATTTCATGCTTAAAGTTGATACAAAAAAAAAACTTATCCTAAGTCAGTCTGTGGAGTAGAATGGAACTATCGGAAGTGAGTGAGTGAGTATGGTTTTACTCCACTTTTAGCATTATTCCTGCTATATCATGACGTAAAACACCAGATACATGTTTCACACATTGTACCCATGTGCTAAATCAAACCTTGGCGTTATGTGTGACGAGTGAGTGAGTATGGTTTTAGACCGCTTTTAGCAATATTCCAGCAATTTTACCGTAGGTGACACATCAGAAATGGGCTTCACACGTAGTACCCATGAGGGGAATCGAACTCAGGTCTTCAGCATGATAAGCGAACGCTTTAACCACTAGGTTACCCCACCATCCCCTAGAAGCAAGGGCTCACCTCTCCTGTCTGCCAATGGCTGAGTAGTATGGCGGGTCCCAGGGCATGACATGCTGCAACAAAACAGACAAGCACTGTTAATTACAACTTAGAATGCTTAATAGCATTAGGACGCCCATCCATTAGTCTCAACACTTACCCATGAAGATCAGTGTTAGAATGTCTTCAGCACCCCATGTCTGTCATAAGAGCTACTAAAGGGGTCGGGTTGTCAGGCTCGCTGACTTGGGTTGACACGTCATGGTAGCACCATTGATAGATTGATGCTCATGGATCAATGGATTGTCTGGTCCAGACTCAATTATTTACAGACCGCCAATGTTAATGTAGATCTATACCAAACACTAGTATAGAATGGGCACTTCAATGAATTTTGGTGACAGCCATTCTGTCTGGGTTAGCGATACTGGAGATATCTTGAGGTTGTTGAGAGGCATATATGAGTTGGTATTCAAATATAAGACAAAATATTATGGATGTCAACTTCTTTATTGCACACATAACGTTTCTGGGATTTTCCTTGCCACTTTGTCAGGTGAATTGATGAAGGGGCAAGGAAAAGGCCTGAAACGTTGCGAATGCAATAAAGAAGTTGACATCCATAATATTTTGTCTTATACTGGAGATATCTTGCTGGATAAATGAAGATGAATTTTTTTAATGTTGCAGGTTAAATGGAATGCCTTCATATGGAGTAGCTGTAAAAATCACAGACAAATACACTACTGGTTTATAGAGATGTGGTTAAAATTAATGAAAATATGAATTCTACACCCTCACTTCCCGCTAGAAATAGTATGCCAACAAACACTGTTAATATAATCATATTCTTTAAGTCTCTGTAGCATAAGTAGATAGCACAATGTTAGTTTGTTTTTCAGCATCGACAAACACATCTAGGTTCACAGGGATGTGGTTAAATTTACTGTAAATATGAATTCTCCTCTCCAGCTACCAACTAAGTATGTTCACAGCAATATTCCAGTTGTACGATGGCGACTGACACATAAACAAATCTACTCGCCTCTTAGAGTGCCGGGAAGATATAGAGTGCTGGGAAGCATTATGGGTAAGAACTGGATTTCCTGCAGCAGTCCTAACAGACAACCGAACGGTAGTAGTCAGACTTGGCTTATTGGTATCATGCCATTGAGTGAGTGAGTGAGTTTAGTTTGACGCCGCACTCAGCAATATTCAAGCTATGTGGCGGCGGTCTGAAAATAATTGAGTCTGGCCCAGACAATCTAGTTACCAACATCATGAGCATTGTTCAAAGCAACTGGGATACGATGGCATGTGTCAACCAAGTCAGTGAGCCTTACCACCTGATCCCGTTAGTTGCCTCTTACGACAAGCATGGGTTGCTGAAGATTCATTCTAACCCGGACCTTCACTGGCTACATCATGCCACTGTGCCCCTATGACGTGCACTGTTGCTCGTGCACTTGCATGACTGACCCGTGAAGATCCGGGTTAAACTCCACACACAGCAATATTCCAGCTATATGGCAGCAGTCTGAAAATAGTTGAGTCTGGCCCTGACAATTTAGTTATCAACATCATGAGCATTGTTCTAAGCAATTGGGAACCGATGGCATGTGACAACCAAGTCAGCGAGCCTGACCACCCGATCCCGTTAGTCACCTCTTACAACAAGCATGGGTTGCTGAAGACCAATTCTAACCTGGAGGTAATAACAGAAACATGACTCACCAGATCGGAACTTGAGAGTCTCTGCTTGAGGTGAAGAATGTCTGCATAGTCTTTTCCAGCCCTGAGAAAATGGCCACACATGCATAATGTGATACTAGATGTTTTTTCTTATGATAATATTTAAGAAATCTTTCAGTAGCACATAAAAAGTAACACTTTTTGAAGGTCGCTTCACACTAATTGATTGATGACAATGTTTCAGTGTAATGTGAAACAAGTGCATGAAAGAGGTGTTGTTTGTTTGTTTATTTGTTTGTTTGACATTGCAATCAGCTATACTCCAGCTATATCATGGCCACCTATAGATAATCAAATCGGAACCAAACAAGCCAGTGATTGATATCATGAGTACCTATTAACGCAGTTAAGATATAATGACAGACATAAACCATCTGAAATCCCACCCATCCGTTAGGGTTGCTAAAGATCAATTCTAACCATAAAGGAATTTTAAGATTAGACATCTGCAGATAGCGTAATCTGGTTTCTTATACCTGCAGTGGATGCAGTGACGTTAACTTGGTCTGCCTTATGCAGGAACTGGATTTTTGCCCCAGTGAGTGAGGGAGTGAGTGAGAGTTTTTGCTGCTTTTAGCAATGGGGGACGCCAAAAATGGACTTCACGCATTGTACCCTTTGGGGAATCGAACATAGGTCTTCAGTGTGACAGGGAAATGCTTAACCACTAGGGTGCCCCACCGCCCCTTTGCCCCAGTGAGTTTTTTATGTAGCTTAAAGTTTCTATGAATCAGGGGTGGATCCAGATCCCCCGAAAAAAATTCGTGAGGAGCATTTCCCCCTAACCTTTGGACTTCATGATTTATGTGCACCCCCCCCCTGCTCCAAAATCCTGGATCCACCCCTGTGACTGGCAGTGATTCAAGGGTTGAAAAATACCATTGCCTGATGCCCAGGTCGTGTGGAATTCTCCGGTCGGTCAAATAAATATCCACATTAAACTTTACCGTGGTACAGCAGTGCCAGACTACTGAAATGTTTTGCTGTATGTAGTTTGATGATGAAATAAAAATGCAATTGCTACCAATTGATAAAGATTATTTGTAAAAGAAACCAAATTGTTACCGATTCTTATGTGGTCAAGTTTGAAATTTCTCCTTCATATTTTATGGTCAAGATGGATTTTGCAAGTTCACTGGACCTGTGTTCAGTGAAAAAGGTTTTCAGCCCTTGGTGATTGTGTGTTTTTGGAAACGTTTCTACAATCTGTAGAGAATCTGACAGTTAACACTTATCAAAAACCAAGTTCCCATAACATTGGAACTGTAGGTCTAACCTTGTAATCTTAACATGAAGATTCTGGATTTTCAAGTAAATTGCGAAAGTATTGGTCTGTGTTGTCAAACAGTACTGAAACATAGATGCCATTATTCTCACCTGTCTTTCAATTTGTCGGACAAGCTCTGTAAGAACTTTGTCACAGATTCTGTGAACATCAAGAAACATAATATTACAAACAATAAACAAACAGGTCCCGTTGAGACATCTACTCCTTGTCTAAGTTCATAAGACTTGCACTTGAAGAAAAACAAAGCTATTTCACAGCCATTTTCAATCTGAGCCTAAAAGTGGGAATTCTCCATGTTATGAAATTTGACACTGAATAAAGCCCTCTGTCACTGCCATCCAGCCCAAGTGGAGACCCTCACATGAATAAACATCAAACAAACCAAATGTCATATGCACATAACCACAGCTTTCACAGCCACGACGAAGACTGACTGAGTGCTTTCAGGCCTTTAAATATTCCAGCTCACAGATGGACATAACCACACAAATGTTCTTTCACAATTGAAACTGCTACTACAAAGAAAGGTATATTCACATTTAGTGATGAAGCAACAATAATGTTACATACTGTAGTCATCAATGTTCTGACTGTTCAGACAGTAACTATTCTAGACCAGAGACAGAAAACAGGGTCCAACACTTCCCACAATGGAGGCCTTATCAAGGGCCATCAGCCGTCTTCCTAAGCAAGGGAGGTAACTCAGTGTAAAAATCCAGTTTTCCCCTTTTCCACATTAGGCTGGAGTTTCTGAGTTGTAATTTTGCTTGCCTAACGAGTCCAATCAAAACTGCTTGTGGCATGTAATGCAGTGCAGCCAAATATTGGTTCTTCAACCGAGCCACAATTTAACAAACAGGGATTTACATGGAGTCCTGTATTTGAGGGTCCCTGGGACTCATACTCTTAATTTTCAGGGGTTCTGGACAAGAAAATGGGGTCCGAGCACTTAAAGTTTATCATTAATACTGTTATTGTATTGTGTATCATGATCATCACATTGTTACAGTAATTAAATTGCAAATAATACTATAACCAGCTAGAAGCAAACTCAGTGGTAACTTATTGGTACTTGATTGGAATTTTTATAAAAAAGTATTTGGACTTTTTCAGAGTCCCTGTGGATGCTCTAATAATTTTGGTTGCGTCCATCGTCAATTTTTATGAGTATAAGACGCAGGAATTCGCGTCCTGTAAATACCTGAACAAAGGGAGGAAACTCAACTTTTATTGTCAGTTACATCTCTTGTCTCAAGAAGATGCACTCTAGCCTGCAAAAAATAAGCCCTATCACAAAGCCTGACTTGTGTGCGTTTGCTGTTTAACGCCACATTCAGCGAATATTTCAGCGAATATTTCAGCCACATGACAGATCTGTAAATTATCTGGTCCATATGATCATGTGACTGACATCATTTGCATCGATCAACGTATAGATATGCAATGACATCATCAAGTATGTCACGAACTCTGACTATGTGATATTTTTAGTATCCTCCTATGTCAAGCTTGAGTTGCTAAGAAAAACAATAATATTCTGTTATTCATGGCCATAACCACTAGGCCCAGTTTAGTGGATTCTAACTGTACGTCAGCACAGTTTTATTCCAGCAATATTCCAGCAATGACCCTGCAGTCAGTGTAACACCAGTCACCTCTGCAAAGTTGTAACTTCAGTGAAAAGAACAGTAACATTAACTGTTAAATTTAATCAAAATCCATAAACAGAAAACAGCACAAATTCAAGCTCTTTAAAATCATTTGTACCAATTTGTGTTAAATATATTGAACTGAAATGATTACTGATAGACAGACATTAGACAGACTATATCCCACCACATTATATGCCCGGGCATCAGTCATTTAATGTAAATCATATCACATAAATTCAATGTAAATATTTCATAGTTAAAGTTGATATTTCCACTTGCCCAAACAGTATCCTTATCTTAACTTATCATTCACTGTACAACTAACCGTCTGTGGAGTAGAAAAATCGAACTTAAGAGTCTGCACAGACATTTGTCCAGAACTGGGCCAAATACTAGCCTATGAACAAACCGAGATAAAATCCCCACAGACAGAAATCTACCACAACAGCTGTAAATTCCAATATCAAGATTCTAAGATTCTTCAGACCTGGGTTTTCTAGTATTGTGCCCCTCGTGGCTCTGTGAGCGTAGGTTGGGAAACCAACAAGTTGAGCCAACTGGTGTCGTGCATGTAACAACGCATCTAGGATCTCTAACTGGTGGTGGTCGGGATACAGAAATGTTTTATATGCAGTCTCACGCACCTGGAACACAATGATACAAATGCACACCAGACAGATGATGATGATGATGATGATTTGGAGATTTAAAGTGCACTTTTCGACATAATATGTGTTGCGCATATGGACATCAGACAGAGATTTATCTGTGACTTTAAAATAAGTGCCCCTGTCAAACTACTTCTGAAAAATAACTGATTTTGTCTTTGAATTTCTGTGACACGAGTATGTAATTTTTAGAGTAAAATTGATATTTTATACTTATCCTGACTCATGCTCTTTTGCTTGTCTTCTTCTTCTTGCGAACATAGTGGAACACTTGTATCTCCTTATTTGAAGCTCCCTTCAAAATAAAATCACTAATTGGTACTCACCACGAGTTGCTCCCCTTTGTCTCCCCTGGCGGGAAAAGGTGTCGCCACCCTCTGGCCATGTGCTCCACTCTCTCCTGATTTAGCGAGCCCAACACTTGAATTTACAGGGAAATCCAAAGTGTTATGTGGGAGGATGGGAGGGAAGTTACAACCTCATGAGTCAGGATAAGTATAAAATATCAATTTTACTCTAAAAATTACATATTTTCCTTATCCTGACTCATGCTCTTTGCTTGTAGCATCCTACGGAACGGAGGTGGGTAACAGAATACTTTGGATTTATAATTAGTGATTTTGTATAGATATACTGTAATATCCCCACGGAACTTCATGAAGGCTTAGATTTAGGATGTTTCCTGTATAAAGAAAACCATAGGTTATATAAAGCCATTAAAGGGGAATTACATTATGAATATATTGAACAATACATATAAATTATATATATATATATATATAGGTGACTCTGATAGAGGCACTGAAATGACTATATCCAAGTATATGCTTAAGGTTGAATACTTAAGCTGAACATATATACATAGCCCTAAAACTCCGTAGAGTTATAAGCTAGATGAGTATGTATAAAGTACATATTAATCTTGTGAGGATAATATTTTAACGCCTACGAGGGACTGTCAGTTGCTGAGCGAGGACCAGTGGTCCGAAATGGTGAATGCCAGAGACATCTTCTGTAGTGATGTCTCTTAGGTAGTGATTAGCAAATACCATGTTAGATTTCCAATAGCATCCTTCCATAATCGCGGTTCAAGGAACAGTTACCGTGTAGGGCGAGGGTAGAGGCCAGTGCCCTGATCTCATGTGGATTTGATGCTGTTGGTGGGTCCAAGCCTGCTGCCTTGTAGGCACGGAGAATGACAGTCCTTATCCAAATAGATATTGTAGTCCGTGACACTTCTGTTTGATTCGTGAGGCTTAAGGGGATGAATAAACGCTTGAGAAATCTTCTCCTTGTTTTGATCGTCAGAATAAACTTTTAGCCTTACCGGACACAGTGATAGGTCTTGTGTATCTTGTGATCCGAGAATAGAGGATAGCCGGATGTGGAATAATCTGTCTGGTTGACCTGGCAGTTGATTTTTGCAATGAAATCCCATCTTAATCCGAAAAGGTGCTTAAGGTTATGATTGTCATCAAACTGTATCCTCTCGAATCCAGAGCTGAATTTCAGACATTCTTGCTGCTGTGGCTAGCGATAGCAGAAACAATGTTTTCTGTGAGAGAAATTCAAAGTTTGTCGATTCCAAAGGTTCATAGACCTCACTCGTGAGGTGTTGTAACACTACATTCAGATCCCAAGCTGGGGCTGGAACTTCCGCTTTTGGTCCTCCAATCGAAAGCTCGTAGTAAGGCCAGTAACTCTGGAGATCTTGTCAACTTGACACCCGCTCTCATGGTGATTACAGAGCTAAGCGCCGGCAAGATATGTTGATATCGCTTGAACCTTTTTAAATGTTTGTTTTGGCGTAGGTAACACAAATAGTCTGCCACTTGAGGTTGTGAAGCCTCTCTGCTGTAAACCCTTTCTTTGTTGCATAATTTTCAAACTGTGCCACTTGTCGCCGCATAAGCCACGAAGCTGAGTAACGAAGGCAAGCGCGGACTGCTTTTGCCGCCCTGGCAGAATATCCTTCTTGTTTAAACACATTTGTATACAGTCCATACGTGTAGTTGGAACATTGCTGGGTTTCCGCGCACTTGTTTGGTGTGAGGATGAATTAACAGGTTTGGCCGCTTGGGTAGCTCCAGTGTTGGTTGACCCATTTCTTGAATTAGTATGGGAAACCACGCTCTGGCCGCCAGTAGGGCGCGCCACCAAAGTGAGTTGTAGGCTCTGTGTTTGTCTGATTTTCTGTAATACTTGGGGTATTATTGCTGGCGGCGAAAACGCCATGCGCATTGAGGCCTTCCATGATAGACTTAGAGCGTCCGTTGCCCAAGCTTGGGGTCTGGGACTGGTGACACGAATGTCGGTAGCTGATTGTTGAATCGCGTGCTTAATAGGTCTATTAGCGGCGCCCTAATTGCTTGATTATCTGTGCAAAATTTCCCTGTTGATCATCCACTCTGTCGGTGATGGTAGATGAGGCCGAGAGAGCGCCTGCTAGTATATTTCTGGCTCCGGGAATGTGCACTGCTCTGACATGTAGATTTAGATCTTGTATTAAATCGAACAGTTGAAAGCTTAGGTTCAAAAGGTTCATCGATCTCGCTTGAGCCTTGCTTGTTTATGTAGAACGCCACTGTCGAATTGTCTGTATGGATCATTAGGCTTATTTTGTAGAAATGTGCTCCAATGTAGAATGGCGTTGATTACAGCTTTCATTTCTAGACTGTTTATATGGAGTTTGCATTCTTGCTGATTCCATAACCCTGATATCGTGTGGTTGGTGAGATGAGCTCCCCAACCTTGGAGTGACGCGTCTACATATAGATGGGTTTTGTATTCCTGCTCTGCTAAACAAAATCCCTTCGCGAGACATTCGATTTCTTGGTCCACCATAGTAGATGTGGTCTGAGATGTTTCGGTAGACTGAATGGTTGTACATCGCTGAGATGTGCTGATGAGACCTGTAGGGGACGTAACTGTAATCTGCCTGTGACAGTCATGTCTTGGGCTGATGTGAGAAGACCTAGTAGGCTCTGCCATTGTCGCGAGTGGTAACGGAGAGAGTATAGAGCTGGTGGAATGGTCTGTTGTATCTTGAGCCAACGGTCTTCTGGTACCATAATACGGTTGCGATTTGTGATGAATCAATACCTAGGAACTGTAGGTCTTGGCGATGGTACTAGGTCCGACTTATGTAAGTTTACTAACCAACCTAGTTGTGTTAGTAGCTTTATGATGTAATTTAACTGTAGTTTGAGACGCAGTGGATCTTGATCTACTTGTATCCCGGTCGTCGAGGTAAAACGCACTCGCGAGCCCTTGACGATGTAGAAATTTGATAATCGGTTTGCTATCCTCGCAGAATAGCCAGGGGCTGATGATATTCGAATGGGAGTACTTTCCACTGGTAATGTAGCCCTTCTAGAGTAAATCGTAGGTATTTCCTGGAATCGGGATGAATGGGGATGTGCAAGTAGGCATCCTGTAGATCTATGCTGCCCATGTAGTCCATAGGACGAATCATCTGGCTTAACTGAGGTAAATGTATCATGCTAAACTTCGGTGGTTTGCGAGATAGTTCTTGTTGAAAAGCTCATGTTGTAGATGAGTCTGTATTTCTCCGTGGAGTTTTCTTGGGAACTAGGAAAACTGGGGAGTAGAAACCTGGTTCGACGTTTGCTTGATCTATTACTTCTATGGCCTGTTTGGATAGGAGTGATGAAACAGCCTCTTTATCTTTGGTAGTTGTTGCGCTTGTAAATCGAACTTGGGGGGTTTGATTGTCAGCGGAGGCTTGGCCTGTAGAGGGATACGAAACCGTGTTGAATAATGTTGGAGACGTAAGGGTCTTGCGGTGTATTCCCCAGTTTTCCCAGTGTAGTTGGAGGCGCCCACCACTTGAGCTGGTTGTACTGGAACGGCTGGGGTGGAAGACTCCAGTCGCCCGAACCTGTGTTTCAGCGTCTATAATGCGGGAACCTCTGGGTGTCCTGCCTCTTCCTGATCCTCCTCTATAGTTGCCATATGGGCGACGAAAAGAATCTTTACCTCTAGAGCTGGCTATCTTCCTGTCTCTTGCTCTTTGTAGGCCCGTGAACTTAGATCTGCCTGAGTATCTTTGTGAAGTCTGACCTAATGACGCTGGCTAGTGTGTCCATCGATCTAATCATAAGGACTTCCCTGGAATCCTTAGAGACTTCCTTGGCGACCTTGTCGATTTCTCCGTCAAAGATGGATGTTGTCGACCACGGGCTGTATAAAGTGGGCTGTAAAGTTCTCCCCAATTACAGGAGGCGAGGAGGCCTTGACGACGAAGCTAAGGTCAGTGCTGCTGAAACAGATGTAAGATGATCCGTTAAAAACTGCTGATCTTTCTTTTTGCATAAGTAAGGCAGAATAAATCATTCTATCATCTTCCGTCGTGAATCCCGAATCTAGTAATAAGAGTCTCATTGATCGCCCTAGATCTATTTAACCCAAAGAACATACGTCTCGTCATGGTTTCTATATGAGCCAACTTGCGATCATCCATCTTGTAAATCTTGTTCTTTACATCGCTGATGATCTTATAGTTCTCATCGATGTCCTGGGCCTTGTAGAAGGAGTCCATGTTATGCGTGAGAACTTCTTGGCTTGAAAGTTGGGCAGATGTGGTATCTGAACTTTCGTAGCTTTCTGGAAAGCTGCATCTAGGATTCTGTGGCACTGCCGCCGCAATCGGTTCGATCGGTAGAGTGATTGCATCTGGATCATCTTCCTTCATCAAATACGCCTGAGCTGTATTGCCACTTTTAGATGGTGATGTGAGATCTAGGTTATTGACCATCCAATACCGTATTATCTGCATCAGAAAATATGATTCCTCCATCATCCTCAAAACCATCATCATTAATAAATTGTAGATGCTCTTGGGACTGGCGTGTAGCTGTCTGTATATCTGATGAGGTTTGTGGCGATCTAGTTGACTTGTGCGGCTCTATGTGGAGATCTGATGGGTGATCGAACCTGGTGATGAGCACGGAGTGGAGATCGTCTATGGGATGATCTTCTCGGAGACTTGTGGGTGAATGTTGATAGCTTCGGCAAGCTCTTCGGCAGTCCCTCGATGTTCTTCTGTTAGACGATGAAGATCTGAATCATATGTCCTTCTCGCGAATGCCTTCGCGAAGCTTCATTTGCGTCGGTCCGTGGATCGATGATATGATGACCTTCGCGAAGGCTTCCGTGATGTCTGATGGTCTGAGTCCATATCTAGAGATGAAATCGGAAGATGGTGATGATCTCTCCGCCCGCGAAGGCCTTCGCCGGCTGTACATCTAGGTCCTTCGTCCAAGGTGGTGCGGACTTCCTTCCGGCGAAGGTGACATCGTCTTGGCTGCTACGTTGACGGGGTGCCTCTGGGGTGCTGTCATTGGAGCCTTCGCTGAAAAACCTCTCGGACCCTGCTGCGCGGTTTGTAGTGGTCCTCCATGATGTTCATAATCTGCCGATCATGTCTTCTGGGATGATCTAGACGAAGTCGCCGCGCGTCTTTTCTGCGATGGGGTTCACATCAATGACGTCTGACGTCGGTGTAGAGGCATCAGGCTGCATGGAGATCTCTGCAGAAGTCACAGTCGCTGACACTGACGTCGGCTTCTTCTGCCGTAAATCGGGATGATTATCGGCTGATCATCGTAGAGGCCCAACTCTGCTGCTGGAGCGATCTCGGCTGAAAAGTTCTTGCTGTCTTCGTGGAGATTTCCCTTTGGAAGTCTGCGCTGCCCTGGGTGTCGCCTCAATCTGCGTTGAGGCGGCGATGAGGCCCTCTTAGACTTAGTCTGCAATGACGGGATGTCTGGGGAGGCCGGTCGTTTCTTCGAGGTAACGGACTGCGTCCCACGTTCCTCTGCCGCCAGGGGTCTCTAGCAGAACACCAGACGGGAGAGGGTCGATCGCTAGCAGCTGACTGGAAGGAATATCTGGACTCTCTGCCATGTTTTGCCCTTGTTTGCGTGATCTATCTGCAGCACGTCTTAAGACGCAAAGATGATATTTATTAAATGCAGAATGAGATAAATTAATGCAGTAACTGCAACGTGAATTAAGCGCAGCAGTAGAACAACTAGGGCATATTACATGTGGATCGGAGGCAGAAAAAGCGTAATCTACAAATGCGTTACAGATTTTCATGAGCGTAAAGCTAGCTGAACAATCACGCGAATACACGTGAATAAACAGTAGAAATCACGATAATTAATCAATACAAATAGTAAAGGATACTAGCTATACCTCTATAGTAACCTATGAGAGGTAAAAACTAAGAGATTATCAAAGGATATGTGTGTAAGGAGACACAAGGCGCTCTCACATCCTGCTCACTGGGCGAAGAAGGAGAGAGTGGAGCACATGGCCAGAGGGTGGCGACACCTTTTCCCGCCAGGGGAGACAAAGGGGAGCAACTCGTGGTGAGTACCAATTAGTGATTTTATTTTGAAGGGAGCTTCAAATAAGGAGATACAAGTGTTCCACTATGTTCGCAAGAAGAAGAAGACAACCAAAAGAGCATGAGTCAGGATAAGGAAAAATAAAGGGCTTCACTCACTGTGCTAATGTGGAGAATCGAACCCGAACCTTCAGCGTGACAAGCGAACACTTTAACCACTAGGCTACCCAAAAGCCCCTGTCATTGTTACAAGATCTAGGGGACCAAGAAGCTTTGTCATTTTCTGTTGTACTATTCGTGTCAGGGTACTACAGAACACTTTCCTTTCTGAAAGTAAAGTCATGACAAGGACCATTTATGATTTTGGACACAGCTGAAGGAATTTTGAGACTAATAAAAGGAGACGATTATGGTTCACTCACCACGTCGCTGTAGTGGTCAGAGCACAGGCCCGTGACAGAGATGTTGTCGCCATCAACGTTGAAACTGTAACATACACAAGTGGTTATAATACTGCCTGTGTTCAGTATCTGTAATAGAAACAGACTGATAAATTGATATTCTAATATGAAGACGTCCCTAAATGACACATGCGGTTCTGAGGAGATCACTTGTACGGTGACATCCAACATTCAGAAGCCATGAAGATCCGGGTTAGAATTGATCTTCAGTAACCCATGCTTGTCATAAGAGGCGATTAACGGGATCAGGTGGTCAGACTCGCTGACTTGGTTGACACGTCATCGTATCCCAGTTGTGTAAATCGATGCTCATGTTGTTGAACACTGGATTGTCTGGTCCAGACTCGATTATTTTCAGCATGATACAGCGGAAATATATCTGAGTGAGACGTAAAACAACAAAGAAAGAAAGACTAAACTGGGATAAGGAGTAAATCTGGGATTCGAACCCAGGGGCATAGGTTTCTGTCAACCACAAGGATACTAGATGCCAGCTGTATTACTCACCAATATCTAAGATTCTGTGGCAGTTTATCTTTAGGTACGGAGGATGGACGATGTGTTCGCTGAACAAAATAGCTCCCTAGCATCAGGATGTTTTCGTTCAGCTTCACAAACTGCTCTCTCTGAAACAGTTACGGAGTGAGTCAATGTTGCTGAACCTATAGTCAGCAATATTCCAGCAAAATTTCAAATGCTACAAGCAGAATGGGCTAAGCAAAACAGTGGTTGATAGCATGAGTGAGTGAGTATGGTTTTACACCGATTTTTGGCAATATTCAAGCAATATCATGGCGGGGGATACCAGAAATAGGCTTCACACATTGTACCCATGTGGGGAATCGAACCTGGGTCTTCAGCGTGACAAGAGAACACTTTAACCACTAGGCTACCCAACCGCCCCCTGATAGCATGAGAACTGCTCCATGATCTAGTGACAGTTTCCAGTCATAGTCATTAATTACTGCTTGTACGAACCAAAACATTGTCTCTTTGTAAACAGGGCAATAGTTAACTACTATTGTTATACAATTATTGATTTTATTTTCAGAGTGAGTGAGTGAGTGAGTTTAGTTTTATGCCGCGTTTAGCAATATTCCAGCAATATCACAATGGGGGACAGCAGAAATGGGCTCCACACATAGTACCCAAGTGGGGAATCAAACCCGGATCTTCCGCGTGACAAGCAAACTCTTTAACCACTAGGCTACCCCACCACCCTTTATTTTCAGATCATCGCATGATTTATTGACCTTGGACAGATAGTGTTTGCCAAACTGAAACTGAAGTCCATAAATGTTGCAGTATTTGAAACAAAACTGAGATGGCTATGATGTTAAGATTGATTTAAGATTACATCTATCAACCTTCTGGTCTGCCACTGTTCGGAAAGAGGGAAGCAACTCTGAATCAGCAATGTTACAGTAACGTAGCGATGCCTACGCGGGATGTTACATTATGGGTGTACTATGTTTAGCCATGTCTGAGGTTAACATAACATTGTGTAAAGTCGTGTGCAAGTGACAGTTCAACCAATCAGATGAAAGGAAATATAGTAGTCATATAATAAAACTTATAATTATCATAAAATAAGGGTATAGGGCAAAGTGAAGTTGGCATAGCTTGAATTAAATTTTCCATGACTGCCAATAAGCTAGATGTATCGTTGAGACGGGCTAGATTTCTGACGGATGGTCTAAATTTACTGCTAGCCAGCCTGATAGTCTGGTAAAACAATTAGATAACATGTTCCATACATGGTTAAACCCATTTTGGGCTGGTAACATTTTGAAGTTACCAGCCCTGATGTCTGGGTTTGGGGCTTATTTCATACACTGAATAGTCTTTTACCTATAATTCAACACAACACTACCTTGTCAGCTGGTAAGTGAATCCCGCTTTGCTCAAAGTCAAACATGAAGAGCTGGGCCACCCTGTTGTCCACATCGTCAGTGGGGACGGAGTCTCCATTGTCTATCACAGACTTCAGGGCCTGGTGGAGGCTAGTATCAGTGTTGAGTCTGCAACATAGAGGTCAGGTGAAATTGGATTTAACGTCGTGCTTGAGAATATTTCGCTCATATGATGACGTGCATGCGTGTGTATGTGTATGTGAGGCTGCTTGTACTAGCCCAGACTGAAGCTGGTTTTATAGTGCTAGCCCACTGAGATACCATGCCACAGTGAAGCATGAATACCCCACTCAGACACATTATATTGACTCCGAGCCGACCAGTCCTTGTTGTACCCATTAATGCCGAGCGCCAGGCAGGGACCAACAAGTACCATATTTAACGTCTTTTGGTATGACGCAGTCGGGGATCGGACCCGTGACCTTCCGCTCTCCGGGCGGACGCTCTAACTCTGCAACATAGACGACGCAAATACAACCATAAACACCCCTCTCAGCAAGATTCCAGCAATATCCCAGCGGCATTCACCGCTTTACGCAATATTCTTAACTTAGTGACATGTTATTCCCTGAAGTGAATGAGTGAGTGAGTGAGTTTAGTTTTTACGCCGCTTTTAGCAATATTCCAGCAATATCACGACGGGGGACACCAGAAATGGGCTTCACACATTGTGCCCCTGAAGTGAATGAATAACGCAGCACTCAACAATTTTCCAATTTTCCAGCTATATGACAGCAGTCTGTAAATAATCAAGTCTGGACGAGACAATCCAGTGATCAACATCATGAGCATCAATGTACAAAATTAGGATACAATGACATGTGTCAACCAAGTCTGTAAATAATCAAGTCTGGAAGAGACAATCCAGTGATCAACCTTATGAGCATCAATGTACAAAATTAGGATACATTGACATGTGTCAACCAAGTCAGCGGGCCATAGTCGCCTCTTACGACATCCAAGGGTTGCTGAAAACCAATTCTAACCTAGGTTTCATGGGTCAGTGAGTGAATGATCTTGTTTGGTTCAACACCATCTGTAAAATATTCCAGTTATTATGCTGTGGTTATCTTAATTCAGGAAGGACCAGTGAAGATCTAGGTTGCAATTGATCTTCAGTAACCCAAGCGTGTCGTAAGAGGCGACTAACAGGATCGGGTGGTTGGGCTCGCTGACTTGCTTGACACATGTCATGGTATCCTAATAGCATAGATTGATCCTGAATATGAACAACGAGGAGAGTTCTATGGATATACAACTTCTTTAATATAACATGAGCGATGTTTCGGTGTAGATACTAACACTGTTATCAAGCAACTGATGTACAATACTAGAGGCAAGGTATATATATACATAGTAAAGTTGAACAGTAAGTGAATGATGTTTTCACAATTAATGAGGTTGATGTACAAGGTTGGAGGATGTTTACACAAGAAGGTAATTGTTACACAAACAGAGTAAGCTATGGGGGATTACTGGGAGGAAGCCACAGTCTAAGTAAACATAGACTCGTTACACTGCTATACTGGGTCTAACAAAACCATGTGGAAGGTCACGTCAGGTAACCTTTGAGAGACCTATGACAGTCCAATCAAATGCGAGACGGCCGAACGGATTGAACCAATCAGACAACAGCTACTATTTTAGGGGTTCGGAGGGACTTACGAAATGGATTTTCTCTTGCCTGTTTGCCAACACTGATCAGCCAACAAACGAAAATTGCATAAAACACAGATATTTGCCGTGCAGTATACACGCTTTGGGGTTTCTGGTGACATGGCTATTATTAGCTAATATTTCAGCAAGCTGACATGCTTGAATACTGACAAAACGCTATTTTCAGCGACTGTTTACTCACTGCTGTCGCGTGCCTCACTAGGAACCGATCGTACGGAAAATAGCATTCAGAATCGTTCGGTACAAACGTTTTGGAGGTAAAAGTTCAAAAGGTATGTGCGAATGTCAACATTCACGATTTGGTAAGCTGTGTTCTGATTGGTCAATTGAAAAGGTTATCTGACGCGACCTTCCACAAAGTTTTGTTAAACTCAGTATAGCAGTGTAACGAATAATACTGAGTCTAAGTTTACTGAGACTGGAGGAAGCCAGTGATATAGGAGACAGGAATATAATGGAATTAAGATTGCTTGGTGATGGGTTGGTTGTAGGCAGTGGGGATGTAATATCCTTGGTCTCCTTGGCCGGTTGGAGTCTCTTGATGTGAATGGCTTCTAGTAGCTTTCTGATCTTCTAGTGGGTGTGATTACTGGTGAGTACATTGATGCTGTTCCATAGGATGCTGTTGTCTGGGTGAGCTTGGGTGTGGTCAGAGATGGCGGATTTGGAGTCTTTCTTCTTCACAAGCTACTAGAAGCCATTCACATATCCATAGAACTCTCATAGTTGTATATCCATAGAACTCTCCTTGTTGTTCATCACACCAACTTCTAAATGCCACTCCAACAAGTGTGCTCATGCTGTTAATCTCTGGTCCAGATTTGATCATTTACAGACCGCCGCCATATAGTAAAACTAAACTCAGTCACTCACTAACTCACTTAAATTGGGAGTGATAAAGGTCTCAGCTGGTGCTATGGTGCTGACAAACTGACAAACATAAACAGGGTTAACCCTGTTTCAAACTCAATCGTGTGAAGCCCATATCTGGTGTCCCCTGCCGTGATGTTGCTGGAATATTTCTAAAAGCGGCGTAAAACCAAACTCAGTCAGTCAGTCAGCCAAACTCAATCATAGGATCTGCAAGGGAAACAACTCTGCACAGGTAGTTGCTGCACCTCTGCCAACTGGTCCCCTCTTACCTGGCATGTTACCATAGTTACTTAATTTCCAACTGGTCTTACTTTTCAACAAGTCCCGACAGTCCAACACAGGCCTCCTCTGCAGCCATGGAGTAGTCCTGATCCGGGTGAGACACTCGCACAAAGTCCGCCTGGCAATCAGGTCAAAACAAGGAATATTTGAAAATATGTGAGTGAGTGAGTTTATTATTTTTATGCAGCGTTAATCAATATTCTACCAATATCACGGCAGGGAATACCAGAAATGGGCTCTACATATTGTACCCACATGGGGAATCGAACGGGGGTCTTTGGCATGACGATCGACCGCTTTAACCACTAGGCTACCCCACTACCTCTTGAGCATAAGACGTAAATGTGTAAGTTATCTGAATGCTGAAATCAGCCATCAGCATACGGAATAGCCATACAGACGATCTTATTGTGTATGTATCTTTGTGCTGGCATCAGCCATTAACACAAGAAATAACTACACAAAAGATCTTATTGAGGGAAAATGTTTGCCATCAACACAAGGACAGAGTTGCAGAGTTAAACACACATAATATATGTACAGTACACAACAGTTTTATAATTCAACAATCTTCAAACAAGATCTTACCCATGATAGATATAGATGATCTTAAATTGGTTGGTTTGTTGTTTAATACTGCAAACTAGCAATATTACACCTATATGGTGGCGGTCTGTAATAATCAAGTCTAGACCAGATGATCCAGTGATCAACAGCATGAGCAGTGATCTACGCAATTGGGATAAGATGACATGTGTCAACCAAGTCAGCTAGCCTGATCATCGATCTCATTAGTTGCCTCTTACTACAAGCATGGGTTACTGTGAAGACCAATTCTTACCTGGATCTCCATTGGTTAAGTTCTTAAAATGTTCTTAAAGTTCCTGAGAATTAAAGTTGTCTATAAATAATTTAGATTTTGATTCATCTACCTATGTTATTTTGTTTCATTTGATGGTTCTCCCAATCTTTAGTGCACATGCTGATCTGTAAATGAGAGAGTCTTGTGGGAATAAAATGTTCTATCAAGCTCTTTGCAATTAGGAATTTCTAAAAATATCAGTAACTTGTCATTCCTTGCTGGTCATTTGTTCATTTATTCCATTTTTTATGTTTTATTTGTTTTTAAATTGGCCACTGACTTAAGATGAACATTCTTGGCCAAAGTCAAGTCATATTCCCACAATTTGCCAATGTTAACATCCAACATTTGTAGCTTGCATGTAAGGTGAATGTATTAAATTCAGCAACACCTTACAAAACGTTTAGCCTTTTGTACACATGTGTAAGTAACTGATATGAATAAACTAAATTTCAATGGTAATAGCAATAATTTCCATGCAGTCTGACTGACTGACTGAGTTTGGTTTTACTCTGCTTCTAGCAATATTTCAGCAATATCACGGTGGGGGACACCAGAAATGTCATACAGTTTGAAGTCGTAATGACATTGGCACTTGTTTCTGTTCTGTTTAGGTTTGGTTGCAGCTGCTGGAAATTTCAAAGGTGCCAAGAAACGAAATCCAGTGAGATGGGATTATAGCCGCTTTTATAATAATGTAGAATATTTACAACACTCCTTTCCAGGCTTCATATCCTACTCAAAGTGCACAAGTATACTCTGATCATTATTACCCTGGATAACTCAAGCTTCCCACTAGGCCCTGGAAGGTTATAGTCACATGACATATCCCACCCGGTACCCATTTTCTGCTGGGTGAACGGAGGCAATTTTGAACAAACTCACTTGCCTGAGGTGAGACCACCTGTATAACACGTGCTTTGTTGTGGGGCAGGACTGAAGTCCCAGAAACTCTCTGGAGTCAGATGCCAAACTTGGTCACCTATTCAAGCACTCTCCATGTCCAACATAGATTTGAGACGTGAGCTCTATGCACAGGACTACACAGCACCACTTTTAACAGTATACCAGTAGTGGTGGTGGAATTGGGTTTAACGTGCTTGAGAATATTTCGCTCATATGACGACGTGCATTCGTGTGTATGTGTATGTGCGGCTGCTTGTACTAGCCCAGACTGAAGCTGGTTTTAGAGTGCTAGCCCACTGAGATACCATGCCGCAGTGAAGCATGAATACCCCACTCAGACACATTATACTGACTCCGAGCCCACCTGGTCTTTGTTGTACCCATTAATGCCGAGCGCCAGGCAGGGACCAACAAGTACCATATTTTAACATCTTTTGGTATGACGAGGTCAGGGATCGAACCCGCGACCTTCCGCACTCGGGGCGGACGCTCTAACCACTACACCGCGGAGTTGGTAGTATACCAGTAATATTACAGTATGTTTGGTGGATGCAGGACAAAATCCAAGTGATGCAGGTCTCAGATATTTACCACTTTGGTGAAAGACAAAAGCACTAGAATAAGACTCAGGGCTCCAGATAAGGGCTGTATTGGCGCATACACGGATACAAATATACATGATACGGTAAGAATCTTTTTCGAAAACGTAGCAGATACACACCACAGCAATGGTGTGTTGTCTTGGTATCATTTATAGACGTATTTATCTGAAAAAGTATTGTTTTATTGTTTATTGACCTGTTTATACAAGAGTAGCAATGTTGTGGTGCATATATGAAACAAAACACAAGATTACTGATATACCATTAAATTCCATTCAGAACTCTAACTGTACACTTAAGATTTTCCTGTACTCCTATATTGAAAAAATAAGGTGTACGTACTCCTGATGCTGAAAAAGTATCCGGAGCCCTGAGACATGTACTTCAAGCTATCCAAGGGAGGCAACTCTTCACAGAAAATTGCAGCGCTAGACAGCTGGGCAACACATGCCCTGAATGAGATCTAGAGATGTTTGCTCTTAATTTAATTATGGGTAAGAAAGAGAATAACCAACTCAAAACTTGGAATTTTCTGGTATCTCTTAGCTACAATCACTAGGCATCTACGATATTAGTTACCTCGGGTAAACGGAAACTTTTATTCCTCCCAGCTCATTGATTACTCTCATTACAACCCACGGCATTTATCCCTGATTGTAAACCAAAAGTCACTGTGTTGATTAATCTGATAGGCTGAAAAACGTGATCAAATGGTATTCGATTCCCGGAAATTCACTGCGTATTAATACATACAAACATCGCTCATACCACTGTATTGTTACGTCGTCGGGCTGGCGGCGTCGGTTCCAAATGAATTCCTGTGCTTCAAATACTCAATAACACCCGGAAATTGGCCAACACATGATGTTTATCTCCTAATTTAGGTCTGGACATGCCATTGCTAACACCTTACATGAACTATTACGAAGAAATAATCTGAATTACGCACACTTTACTCAAAGTCATGTCTATTCATGGGATGCTTCCAATTATGTTGAGAACACTGTTTTCATTAGTAATCCTGGCATAAGTATGTCACCAAGTGATATTGAAATACTGCTGATATCTTTCAGACTTTTCTTTTCATTTTGACTCAAAACTAGTTTTCCAATATATTTATTGATAATCTACTAATATCTAGGTAAAGATTATGTATTTCTATAATCCATATTGAAAGCAATACCTACAATTAACCCATGCACAACCGGCATGTGAAGGTCCAAGTTAGAATGAACCTTCAGTAACCCATGTTTGTGGAATATTGCTGAGTGCGGCGTAAAACTCACTCACTCACTCACTCACTCACTCCAACTCATTCCCATACAGGCACCCATCCAACTCATTCCCAATCCAAGCACCCATCCAACTCATTCCCATCCAAGCACAGATCCAACTAATTCCCATCCAACTAATTCCCATCCAAGCACCCATCCAACTAATTCCCATCCAAGCACCCATCCAACTAATTCCCATCCAAGCACCCATCCAACTCATTCCCATCCAACTAATTCCCATCCAAGCACCAATCCAACTAAAGTACTGTCGGAAATGCTAGAAAAATGCTTTTTGACTTATATTTAAAATTCAGAGGTATTACAGTTACTTAAATAACAAATATCACTTCAAGAAACATCTACCTAATGTAGACCGAGGGAATAAATTTTGAGACATGCTCTAAAATGTGTTTTTACTGATGAAAATACCAGAAACTTAGAAAAATAAGGGGTAGTTGGACGTTATTTGAAACAAACATTAACTGCCTGTGTTACGTCATCAGCATGCACGGTATCGACAGGTGAAATTGACACCTGAGCACACGCTCGCGGCGAGGGGTCATCTCAATAGATGTTTTCTGCGAAATGTTGAATATGTGTACGTATAGTTTACGTATCAGTTACGTAAGGGATCATTTGTGTATGTGTGTTTGTTTTGAAATAAACATACGAATTACTGTACTTTGGAAAGAATCCTATCACTTGTTATCTTATCGACTGATTTAATAAATGTTTTGCATGTCAACAGTATATTTCATTGAAAAAATATGGATGTCATTCGGTCAGTTTAATCTAGTTGTGAACATTGGCCAAAGATTTAACGAAGTCACTGGTGTAGCTTCTTGAGAATATATATATTTTTCTTCTCATAAAGTTTGTAGACCGCCCGTCTAAGCACTCCCTTGTCAAAGTTGTCAAGGATGGTTTTACGTCCCGGTTTTGCATTTGAGACGGTCCCTGTCTTGTCTGATTCGTTTACAATATTGTAAATTTGTTGGTAAGACATGCCAACAGCTCTACAAGTTCTGTAATAAACCCTTTCTAAACTAATGAAAGTTTTATCTCTGTCTTTTTTAAGCAGAAAAAAACTATAAACCTTTGCAACAATCGACTGCAAATCGTTGGCCATAGTGGACGCTGTGATAAAGATGTGCATGCTTGACGGGAAACTTGATATATTGACAACATAGTACATTTATCACCTTTATAACGATATTAAGGCTAAAAAGTATTTTCCTAGCATTTCCGACAGTACTATAATCCCCATCCAAGCACCCATCCAACTCATTCCCATCCAACTAATTCCTATCCAACTCATTCCAATCTAAGCACCCATCCAACTCATTCCCATCCAAGCACCCATCCAACTCATTCCCATCAGAGCACCCATCCAACTCATTCCCATCCAACTAATTCCCATCCAAGCACCCATCCAACTCATTCCCATCCAAGCACCCATCCAACTCATTCCCATCTAAGCACCCATCTAACTAATTCCCATCCAAGCACCCATCCAACTAATTCCCATCCAAGCACCCATCCAACTCATTCCCATCCAAGCACCCATCCAACTCATTCCCATCCAACTAATTCCCATCCAAGCACCCATCCAACTCATTCCCATCCAAGCACCCATCCAACTCATTCCCATCCATCTAACTAATTCCCATCCAAGCACCCATCCAACTAATTCCCATCCAAGCACCCATCCAACTCATTCCCATCTAAGCACCCATCAAACTAATTCCCATCCAAGCACCCATCCAACTCATTCCCATCCATGCATCCATCCAACTCATTCCCATCCAACTCATTCCCATCTAAGCACCCATCCAACTCATTCCCATCTAAGCACCCATCCAACTAATTCCCATCCAAGCACCCATCCAACTCATTCCCATCTAAGCACCCATCTAACTAATTCCCATCCAAGCACCCATCCAACTAATTCCCATCCAACTAATTCCCATCCAAGCACCCATCCAACTCATTCCCATCCAAGCACCCATCCAACTCATTCCCATCCAACTCATTCCCATCTAAGCACCCATCCAACTCATTCCCATCCAAGCACCCATCCAACTCATTCCCATCTAAGCACCCATCCAACTCATTCCCATCCAAGCACATATCCAACTAATTCCCATCCAAGCACCCATCCAACTCATTCCCATCCAACTAATTCCCATCCAAGCACCCATCCAACTAATTCCCATCCAAGCACCCATCCAACTCATTCCCATCCAACTCATTCCCATCCAAGCACCCATCCAACTAATTCCTATCCAACTCATTCCCATCTAAGCACCCATCCAACTAATTCCCATCCAAGCACCCATCCAACTCATTCCCATCTAAGCACCCATCTAACTAATTCCCATCCAAGCACCCATCCAACTAATTCCCATCCAACTAATTCCCATCCAAGCACCCATCCAACTCATTCCCATCCAAGCACCCATCCAACTCATTCCCATCTAAGCACCCATCCAACTCATTCCCATCCAAGCACCCATCCAACTCATTCCCATCCATGCATCCATCCAACTCATTCCCATCCAAGCACATATCCAACTAATTCCCATCCAAGCACCCATCCAACTCATTCCCATCCAACTAATTCCCATCCAAGCACCCATCCAACTAATTCCCATCCAAGCACCCATCCAACTCATTCCCATCTAAGCACCCATCCAACTCATTCCCATCCAAGCACCCATCCAACTCATTCCCATCCATGCATCCATCCAACTCATTCCGATCCAACTGAATCCCATCCAACTGATTGCAATCCAACTGAATCCCATCCAACTGATTGCAATCCAACTGAATCCCATCCAACTGATTGCAATCCAACTGATTGCCATCCAACTGATTGCCATCCAACCGATTCCCATCCAAGCACCTACCATGTCTGCGACCCGACAGAGTGTGTCTGACAGCTCATCAAACACCACCACCATCTTGCGTGTCCTTTTCGGACTGGTTGCTTCTTCAACCAGTTTCTCCACGTCATCACAGGCTCGCTGCTGGAGGAGATAAAACCCTCTGTAGTCTGTCAGTTCTGGGATACAAAACAGGCCCTGTAATATGAAAGGACAACTGAGAATCATACGTAATACTAATCAACACTGACTTATTTAATACAAATTCAATAGAAAGATACATTCAGATATCAAAGATGAAAAACAAATGAGGGATACATAAAACAAACTGAACTACAAGAGAACTGCTCCTAGTTTGTGAACTCCAAAACTTAATCTGTTACATTTCAAAACCATTTGCTTTCTCCTGTTAATTTGTTTTCGCCAAGTAAATATTATTTTAGCAATGAGAGCGCAACAAAGGCTTTAACCAAAGGACAACTGTAAATTCAAACTTTAAAACGATAAAACAATGAGAATTGACAAGGCTTTTTTGCCAAATACATGATGTTTGCAGATGGTAACGGACATTTCAGTTGTAATTTTCAAACTTCCCTGGAACCAGGTTTAGGTCTCCATGACTCAGTTTGAACATACGCTGTGACTTGCCACATGGTACTGGTTCATAAACCTTGCACAAAACCTCTGTGCAACACTGTCCTCAGTTAGTGTCGTCCAAACCGGTAACGTACATTTCGGTCACGTACATTTCACACTGGATCAATTTAACCATTATCCCACCAGCTAAAATCGACTTTGAATCAAAACTTGGGATTCTGATAGTCTATGTAAGGTACATAAACATAATTAGCCTCACAAGATTTGTTAAGTTATTCTTGAGAAGAAAAAGGCAGTAACATACATTTCATTGTTAAAATTACTCTCAGATTTTAATTTTGGTATACTGTATATAGCAATTTTGAAATGATGTGAATTTGTGAATATCCTAAAACTGAGTGAGTTTAGTTTTACGCCACTTTTAGCAATAATCCAGCAACTTCACGGCGGGGGACACCAGAAATGGGCTTCACACATTGTACCCATGCAGGGATTCCGAACCCATGTCTTCGGCGTGACAAGCCCACGCTTTAACCACTAGGCTACCCTACCGACCCAAATATCCTAAAAGAAATGACTGCCATCTTCATATCTGACAGGCAAATGAGTCTGGTAAATAACTAATTTGGCTGTAAAGGAATCGCAATCTGAGGGTAGCGTACATCTGCAAAGGTTGGGACATAGAAGAACTGAAGTCTAACCTTGGAAGAAATTCATCGAGATTTAAAACAGTTGCTTGTATGTGAAGTGTACATGATGGTAATAAAGGAAAAGAGCACAATGAATTTTGAATGCAGCTGCAATAAGACCAGACCATAGTAAAGTTGGTGTACTTCCCGGTTGGGACAGTAATGTACATTTCATTTTCACATACTCAAAGCCTTATTTCAGAATGACTAGTGCACTTATGAAGCTGAATGTTTTGGTACAAGTTGCATAGATCAAACCCTTTATTTACCACACACAAAATCATGCAAAAGAGTGAGTGAGTATGGTTTAACGCCGTTTTTAGCAATATTCCAGCAATATCGCGGCAGGGAACACCAGGAATGGGTTTCAGACATTGTACCAATGTGGGGAATCGAACCCGGGTCTTCGGCGTGATCATGCAGAAGAAGTTTATGTTTGTACATATGACAGTGGGACATCATTTGGACCTGCTTATTGGGTTTCAGTTAAAATGTACATTCAAAATGATGGAGTCCTACCTATTCAAGGGAGGCAACTCTTCACAGAAAATTGCATCACCTCAGATACATGGGCTACAACATGCCCTGAATAAGATGTAGAGAGATCACCTTCAGTATCTAAGCACCACATATTCATTCAAATCAGAATTTTAGAAATATATATTTATGTCTTTTCCGGATAAAAACAAACAGAGGTAGCCCTTAAGCAACATACTCAAGAATAGCAATTTTGACAGCAAAGTTTTAATGGTTTAACAGTATCTGCAAATACTCTTTTGAAATGATATGTATTATAATGCACTTTCTGTGTAAATGTTCAGGTGTATTGGGTAAAACATACATTTTGTCATTTCATGTATGGTCTAATTTACAATCCACACAGAAATTCATTCACAAATGATGTTTCCCTTGCAACTTTATTGACAAACTAGCAGAAACTTTGGTATCATGATTATAAAGTGGCAGTGACTGACAATGCTTGGCGCTACAGGATCTACATTAAGAATTTGAGTCAATCTCTGTTCATCACTGGCAGACACTTTAGCAACACCTATCACAATACAGAAACCTTTATTGCAAAAGTCAGAGCTGGAGACATTGACACTTGTGTCAATCACAGAGATGCCAATCGCAAATTGTTGCAATTAGGAATCTCAGCTCCCTAAAATAGAAAAATTAGGAATTTTCCCAACAAATTAGAGATCCCTATAAATTGCTGCAGTCAAGGAACGAAACTTGTCAATGCCATTACACATAGCAATCCGTACACAACTGCCCAGATAGCATTCAGACATTGGCCCAACGTTGGCAATGGTTTTGCCAACATTGCCAACGCTGAGCCAACATCCGAATGCTATCTGGGTGAAACCGGTTTGCAGTACTTGGCTGCAGTGTTTGTGAATGTTCCGTGAATACAGTGACGTGGAATTTATAAGGCAGCCTACTTAACCTCCAGATTACTTTTGACCGCCTCCGTGGTGTAGTGGTTAGAGCGTCCGCCCAGAGAGCAGAAGGTCGCGGGTTCGATCCCCAACCGCGTGATACCAAAAGACGTTAAAATATGGTACTTGTTGGTCCCTGCCTGGCGCTCGGCATTAATGGGTACAACAAGGCCTGGTCGGCTCGCCTCGGAGTCAGTATAATGCAGTTCTACTATTACCGCGGTTTACCGTTTCACCCCTAATAGCAGCGCGACAGTCACATGCAGCATGCACAAAAGCTTGCGAGTAATGAACTCTTGTCACTGAACTTATAAGTTGTTCGTTATGTTTTGATTGAGAGCAGCCACACTAACAGGTTGCAACTTGTCAAGTCAAATAAGGGTTTCTATAGTCAAATAATGACTAAAACAAGTTAAATAAGGATATATTGTTGTAAATAGTGCCATTAAAATTATTTCATGGGTTCATGTAAGTATGGCGTAACTTTGAGTTTCAATCAGTAAACAGGCATGAATATTATTTTTATTGAATCATTTTTTAAAGACTTCCACTGCTTAACCTTGGGCTGTTACAATTCACTCAACGTATTCTGAAATACCAGTACTACTTACTGCATTTCCCCTTGTGAGGCTGAGATTGAGAGCTTTGGTGGGTTTAGCATTAAACGCTGAAGCCAAGGGGGACCATTTGGACACCCACCTCCGTCCCAACCTCTGGGTCAACTGACCCAGCTTGGTGCACAGGGGTCTCGTTGCTAGAGCCATTTCACTTCCTGCATCTTAGGGATCATGCTGATAATTCTGGAAAAGAAAAAAGATATAACTGAACAAGAAGATGTGCCTGAGTCAAACATAGGGCCTCATCCAGCTAACTTTTACTGGAGAGAAATCTTGTAGTTTAATGTACATAACCTTGTCTTACTTCTAGTTGAAACGTTTGGCAAATGAGGGCCTCAGTTCCTTCAATATACAGTCAAGCACTGTTGTGTCGATATTGTGTCGACCAAGAAAAAAATATCGAGTTATCCGAACTTCGAGACATCTGACCAGGGCATATCATCACATATCCTTATGAAAGAAAACAAAACGTTTTTTCAGTATGTTTTGATTTCGAAACTATCATCCGTTATCAGTAGTGTTTATTCGTAACAGTGAGTACTTTCTAGTTAATTCCTTCTTAATTAATCCTAATTAAATAACAAACAAGTGACACCTTCAACTCAATTAGCCCTAATTAGTTTATATTACCGCATCCCTTTGATTCGTCACCTTTAATGTTTTAAAACACAAATTTTCCATCATTATCAAAGTTCTTTTCTTATATGGGATACATTTGTTGATTTGAATATTGATATCAACTGTTCTCATCACGATATGGCTGCAATATTGCTGATGTGACGTTAAATTGTAACTCACTCACTCACTCTTGTATGGGTGCTTTAATATCAGCTGATCTTTGTTATAACTGATGATAATAAAAATGAATGTTCCACAATAATGACCTGCTTGGTCAGTTTTCATAACTTCTAGGGCAATTTTTATAATATTTTACAAATGGGTCCTAGTCAAAATCTCCACATGACAAAATGGCAACAAAATGTCCAAGTCAAAATGGCCCCAAAAAGTCAAAATGGCCACAGCGAAAAGTCAAAATGGCCATAGAAAAAGTCAAAATGGCCACACATTATTTTTTTTATTCTTTAATATGCCTAACATTTGGGGGTTTTTATATCAAGGTGTAATAATGACAAAAGAAGTTACATCAGACAAAACTTGATGTTTATTACACGTAAACAAATCATATTTTCAACAAAAAACAAATTTATATGTATGTTCTTTTTTCATGTACATGCACTTTTTAACTTTTTACTTTTACAAGACAGATAGACAGTATTATTAAATCTAAATACTGTCTATTACAAGACACCCCTGCAGATCCCTGTTTTCAAGTCAGAAACTTGATCATTCCAATGCTCCAGTCAGCTGGGCACACAAGCGGAGAAGTTCTATGGGGCTCAGCTTTCCGTCCTAGTAGAGAGGCCAAGCTGCGAAAACTCCTCCTGGTTACGGGTGGCTGTCTTTCTGGTGAATTTTCCCAGCTTGCCATCATGGAGGAGTCTCGTGTGAATGTCGACCTGGCGTGCCTCCTAGTGCAGAGCTTTGATTAGCTTATACAGACCGAGTGTTCTCTCCCTATTGCAAGAGTTTATTCGCCGGTTCCATCCTACAACACAAATACCCACATTTTAAGTGTTATTCTTCTCACTGTCAATTTTCAATAAACTTATATGATTATAAGAGTTTAATTCAATAAATATATTTTATAATTCACTGATTTACAATGTATAATTCTACAATTTATAATTATTTACCTGCTGACCAAACTCTTGACATTTCCTCCAGATGGCCTGGGTGAAGTGAACTACACAGCCATGGACTTTCACATTTGGCAAAACTCGGGCTAGGGCCAACCAGGTAGCTGACTTGAAATCCATTTTAATATGCATCCAGTTTTCAGATAATACAAATGTCAGGCATATTATAAAATAAACAAGTGTTTGCCACCGATATGGCAATGTCCCCCGCCGCTAAAGAATGGAATATCTATATTCACTACTTTTTATTTTTTGGTCACATAAAAGATGCCTGAAATGACTGGTGTCTGCTTAATCACCCAATGTAGGCTGTCAACATAATTGAAAACATTGGGTGCAATGTGTTATGAGATATTGCGTTTAAATAAGTTTGAAAAGGGGTCAAGTGTCGTTGTGACCTTGAAGGTAAGGTCAAGGTCACCCAAATTAACTGGTGTCTGTGTAATCCCCCAATGTAGGCTGTCACCAAATTTGAAGACATTGGGTACAACAGTTCATGAGATATCGCGTTAACAAGAATTGGGACGTACAGAAATGTTTTTAGGTTGTATTTTGCCCCACATACACTTCATAAATCGTCAAAAGCAAAATACTTTTAGTATTTAGCAGGAATATTACTTTGACTGGTGATTTTATTTTAAATTTTTTTCCCTCCTGCCCTCAAGTTTTCTGAAGACAGAAATTCATAAAACAAGAAATAGAATTGGCCTGGCATAATCATTAAATTTGATGACTATTCACGAACAAACATGCGCTCAACAGCATAAAGCTATGCGCATTGTATTCATAGTTTTGTATTCCATCACTACGGTTAATATTACTGTAACCTGTCCAGGAATAAAAAATTTTATCTATCGTGAATGTAATGAGACATACTGATAAATATTTGTTGTATATATAAATAAGCAGAATAATTTGTATGTAGAAAATAAAATTCCTGCACTTTAAAATTTAGATATGAAAATACATTGCTAATTAGAAAAAACTGGAAAAAAACCCTTAAAATTCGTGATTACATTTAAAATGTATACATTTCGATTATAATCGATAATTTTTCACAACAAGTCCTCCGATAATCGATAGTACATTTGGTTTCCAATTCCCCACACTTCTTGAACCAGGTTTGATGGCATTGACAGTTCAGATACACATTTTGTTTGTTTGTTCTTCAAAGTCGCACTCAGTAGTGCTCCAGCTATATAGCAGCGCTTCGGAAGTAATCGAGTTTAGACCAGACAATCCAATGATCAACATTATGAGCATCGATCTACACAATTCGGATAACAAATCAGCAAGCCTGACCAACCAATCCCTTTAGCATGTTTAGTAGCCTCATATGACCAGCATGGGTTGCTGAAGACAAATCTTAACCCAGATCTCCATGTTTTTAGATCTACATACTTTGCAATGTGTGTAAATATGGGATTGTTATGCAGACTTCACTTTCTCAAGGAATGGTAGCCAATAAGAGATGCTGAGATGATCGCTTTAGCAGACTTTACTGCTAGGTGCACCTGTGACACATATTTTCATGTTACGGGTTTTCAGACTCTCAAGAAACATTCAATGTTTTTCCCCAATCACCATGACTGTGAAACATATCTGACCAACTTACTAAAGAAAGGAATATGTTATTTACACACAATCATTCAAGTATGTGCAGCACAAGACACACTGACGCATGACATCAGAAAACATTTATCATTCAAGGGATTCAACGATTAACAAACAGATGAACAGATGAGGTTATCGGTAACCTCAGCTACTGCTTGTAATGTTTGTTCCTACAAAGACTTGGTCCTTCCGGGTATCCATTCTACAACAGGTGAAACTGAAAACCCCTCAATTTTACAGTGTCATTGAAGCTCTGTAAACAATTTGAGGAGTTCAAACAGCTGTGATCATGCATGTTATCATCCCTATGTAGTATGAATGTCAAAACTATCAGATCTTGGCCAGAGCAGACATATAACACATGGCTCAAAATAAATGATCTTGCGTATGTTTAGTGTGACACTGAAACATTCACAAGTGGATCGATATAATCCTGCTTCTGACTGATGACACTGAGTGTCTATTTTGATATTCATCAAGTTTGTAAACAAACCTACGGAAGAAAACGGAAGTCATGCGTCCAGATCGTCCTCTCGCTATGTCTCCAGAAGTAACGTCGATTCTCGTCATAAGCAAGTGTCATGGCGGCTGCTAGGTTGCCTCCGCATGTTCTAGAGACGTTGTTTTCCTATTTGGACATATCCGATCTTAGAAATTGCTCTCTTGTATGTAAAAACTGGTATAAATTTTTAAACGACGAAAATAACGATGTATGGAGGTTACACTGTGTGAGAAAATTAGCAGAAGAGGCCTTGAAATCGGATTTGTTGAGCAATGTTCCGACTTACAAAGCCAAATTACGTGCGTTTTATCACTCTTGGAATCCAAACGACTGCTCAAGAAACATATATGTGAAGCCAAACGGATTTACAATTCATCGCAACCCAGTTGCACAAAGTACAGATGCCGCAAGGGGCAAGATCGGCTTCAGGACAGGTCGACATTGTTGGGAGGTTTGGTGGGAAGGGCCACTCGGAACGGTAGCGGTGATCGGTCTTGCCACCAAAAACTCTTCCATGCAGGTTCAAGGATATGTGTCGCTAGTAGGAAATGATGATCAAAGTTGGGGATGGAATCTTGTAGATAATCATTTAATACATAATGGAGACAGCCAAGGAAATTATCCTCTATTGAACAATGCGCCGAAATATCAGGTATGGGTTGGACGTATGTCAAGTTTCATTCATAAATGACCAATGTTAAGTATTTACCAATGTTTGTGTTGCTTTAACTATCTATTGCAGCATTGATCTTGCAGATATATATTGGGAGGGGCCAATATTGGTTAGTCATGTGCCTTGTGTTTGGTGTAGATAAGGATTATACAACAGTGTCATTGACCTCATTAAACACTTCCTGAACTGGCTAAAGGAGAGGAGAAGTAATGTCTTACACACGTGACTTTCATTCATAACATATATTTGGCACATGCAAAAAATGTAGGCCACTTAAGTTTAAGGTGATTTCCTGCATGGACCGAGATTATATCTTATGAAATGTTTTGATGATTCAAAAGTGTAAATAGGTTAGGCATGTCAGTAGGACAATAAATCTTAATGCAGTTTTATGAGATTACCATCCTACTGGATTCAGTTTATAATGCCAAAAAAAAATGAATTTGTAGAATTGTTCACATCTCAAAGTCAAACGTGTCAGGTTTTAAATAGTCAATTAATGTAGTTTTTCACATTCTCTCAAAGCTAAACAGAATAAGATTTAAGCAGCCCAGTACATATTTTCAAAGAGTAGAACTAAATGAACATGAAGATGTTTTGACATCCCATGGTAGGTGAGCTGAAGTGAAATTGGGTTTTACATCGTGCTTGAGAATATTTTGCTCATATGATGACGTGCATGTGTGTGTATGTGTATGTGCGGCTGCTTGTACTAGCCCAGACTGAAGCTGGTTTTATAGTGCGAGCCCACTGAGATACCATGGCGCAGTGAAGCATGAATACCCCACTCAGACACATTATACCGACTCCGAGCCGACCAGTCCTTGTTGTACCCATTAATGCCGAGCGCCAGGCAGGGACCATATTTTAATGTCTTCTGGGCGGTGGCTCTAACCGCTACACCACGGAGGGGGTCCCCCTGGTAGGTAACTACTGATGCTAACGTTACCTTGTTTACCATATACATTAGTTCTGAGCAAAGGCAAAATCTGATGTTGACTTGGTTGACACATGATATATTATATCCTTATTGTGTACATCAATGCTCATGCTGTTGATCACTAGTTTGTCTCGTCTAAACTCGATTATTTACTGACCGCCACCCTTATAGCTGGAATATTGCTGAGTGCAGCATTAAACAACAACAAACACAGACTCAAATATTTATTGATTCAAAGCTTGTTGATACTGGAAGCTCTCCCAACTATGAAAGTGCTTAGTCATTGTCATTCAGCTATTTTCCCAAAGGTCCGCATGGTCCTTATTGCTTACTGCTTAAATGATGTTTCATTACAAGAGCATGCATGCACACACGCACACACACACACAGTGTAAATTGATAAGACTATTGTCAACCACTTAGGAATCCCTAGATTCAAGGACCGCCTCCATGGTGTAGTGGTTAGAGTGTCCGCCTGGAGTGCGGAAGGTCGCGGGTCAGTGTCATTCCAAAAGACGTTAAAATAGGGTACTTGTTGGTCCCAGCCTGGCGCTCGGTATTAATGGGTACAACAAGGACTGGTCGGCTCGGAGTCAGTATACTGTGTCTGAGTGGGGTATTCATGCTTCACTGCGGCATTGTATCTCAGTGGGCTAGCACTATAAAACCAGCTTCAGTCTGGTCTAGTACAAGCAGCCGCACATACACGCATGCACGTCGTCATATGAGCGAAATATTCTAAAGCACGACGTTAAACCTAATTCCACCACCACCACCCTAGATTCAAGTATTACTAGAGTAAACCTCATCATTCTCCAGGACCATGTGGGCACATGTGGCCCAGTCATTTAACATGTCTAAGGTGTTGCAGTTCTCTGTGCAGAGTTGTATCCCTTGTCAGAAACCTTTGATCATGGTTTCCAATCCTGGATCACTCCAATTGTTTCTAGGTTTGTCAGTACAATACCTATCAAATTTGTAATCTTTTGAGCCCTGGATGACTTCAGGTTTTCCTCCCACCTTACTTCAGGCCCCAATTTCTCGAAACAAACTTAAGTCAAGGTTTTGACTTAAGTTAGAGTTTTTACTCAAATTTGAGAGAACACAGAAAAATGCATTTCCAAGAATAAACTGAAATCAATATTAACTCAAACATAGTAGACAATTTGAGTTTGGTGGATCAGAGGATAGATTACTTACGTTGTTTGTGCTTTTTTATTTTGAAAATGTAGTTGAGTTAAAAATTCAGCTGTTTAAAAATTTCAAACTCAGTTTGAAATCTAAGTAAAAACTTATGTTTGTTTTGAGAAATCGGGGTCAGGACTCTGCCCACATCATGCTGAGACCCATGAAAATCCAGGTTAGAATTGGTCTTCAGTAACCCATGCTTGTCATACGAGACAACTACCGGGATGGGGTGGTCAGGCTTGCTGACTTGGTTGACACATGTCACCATATCGCAATTTCATAGATCAGTGCTCCAGCTGTTGATGACTGGATTATCTGGTCGAGACTCGATTATTTACAGACCACCACCATATAGATGCAATATTGCTGGGTACAGCGTAAAACTGAACTCTGTCACTCACATCATACTGAACCATAACTTAAATACTGATCACACTGACGATTGAGTGAGTGAGTGAACTGAAGGTTCATTCCAACCCGGACCTTCATGGGTCTGACGATTAGAACTGCATGGTATTATGTGTATACTGCCATATTGCAATACTCCTTTCAAATTGTAGACATCGCAGTGTTTTTCTAAGAACTGGTATACTGGTAAATAAAAATATGTGAAGTTTTGAGGTTATTTCTATGGTTTAAGTTAAAATAGACAAAAATATCCCATTGTGATTAATTGACAAAACAATATACTGTACATACAATAAATTTATGGAAAAGAAAATACAATCCCTCAAAATCACATCTAAATTTGAGATTTTTGTTATCATAACCATAACATTTATTTATAGGGCTTAAATGTGTAGAAAAGAGGCTCTGCATGTACAGTTAATGTCACTCATTGTCAAACACTGTACCTATCAATTTATCCCAATACGTATGTAAAGATCTTGATCACACTGAAATTGACTAGATTGACATCCATTGACAGGTAATGTAATCATCAAACAGACTGAGTACTGTCACTACATATGGATTTCCTACCCGCTGAATCTAGGTGATAGGATAGCCTAGTGGTGAAAGTGATTGCTCATCACACCAAAGACCCTGGTTCTATCTCTCACTTGGGTAACATATATGAAACCCATTTCTGGTGGTGTCCCATGCTGCAATTATGGTGAAAATCAGCATGAAACTAAAAGTATACCCATCCTGAATTACCTGTGTGTGCATAGTAGGGCTGTAACGAATACACTATGTTGCGAATATGATACGTATCACGAATATTAGGTAATGAATACGAATAATTATTCATGAATACAATAATGTAGTTAAAGGATTGATGCACAATATTGAATGCCAATGTTGACAGTGTTAATTTGTCTCAGCAATAACCAGTCATCTCATGACACTCAAATTTTGTATGTAATAGTTATAGTTGACAGTAACATGTCCGCCCTTGGCAAACTAACATGACTTGGGCTACTACAAGGCTAGTACATATTGCATTCTTGCATATCTCGTTTTGAAAAAGGAAATAGGGTTCAAGTAAAACACACTCCCTTATAAAAATTGTAAATATCCATGAATATTCGGTTCTTATGACCACGAATAACGAATTGAATTCATGAAGGGCTACGGTTCGATTCACCGAATATGCGAGTGAATCATTACAGCCTTAGTGCATAGATAGTAATTTCACGTACTGACGGTCTCACTCACGAGCGCACGTACATGGCGCACATGCACAACCCACCAGACAACAACAGCCTGGTCAACATTTTGTATGAACATAGGCTATTTTGGAAACATAAACTTACTAGAGGGACCAACACAACAGATCCATGCTTTAATCTCATATGAATGCATGTTTTCAATTATTGGCTAGAGCAACAGTGGTTGGATATGTTTTTGTGTCCTGATGCTAAAATGACTCTTAGACCGCTGTGGTCATTATTAATCAATGTCCCTTGAGGTCTTAGATGCCATGGCTGTAAATCAGTTTCAGTATTATGTCGTTGTAGTCTCGGTTCACGGGAATATTTCTAAAACTGTAAAAGCAGCGTAAAACCTAACTCACTCACTCACTCAGTAAAGTGTCAGGGTATGTATGTTGTCATGGAAGGAGATCACCTTCAGTAAAGTATCAGGTCATGTAGGTATGACGGTTGTCATGGAAGGAGATCACCTTCAGTAAAGTGTCAGGTCATGTATGTATGACGGTTGTCATGGAAGGAGATCACTGTCAGTAAAGTATGAGGACAAGTGGGTATGTCTGTTGTCATGGAAGGAGATCACTGTCAGTAAAGTATGAGGACAAGTGGGTATGTCTGTTGTCATGGAAGGAGATCACCTTCAGTAAATGTTGGTGGTCAACACGGTCAATGTGCAGGTCATGTATGAACACTTCACGCCCTGCTGTATAACACTGCTCACAGTCACATGATTCCTGACAATTCCGTGGAATGTAACCATGTGATCAAAGCTAAATAATTGCTATGAAAACTGACTCAACAAAAGAGGGGTGTTAGTGAAATTTCTTTTGACTTCTTTTGACTTTGTGGGTCCCGATTCACAAAACGTTTGTAACTTTACGACCTATACTTTATCATAGGCTTACAAATGTTGTGAACATTTTGTGGATCGGGCCCCAGGTCACTTAATACTGAATGACAAAAACAAGTTATCTGAAGCTCAGTAATGTTGTTTTTTACAAAATATTCCTGACTGGCCTTCAGGCACGGGGATCTATCAACTTAGACTTGATTGCTAGGGCTGCGCAATATAACTGGTATTAACCGGTTCAGACATGAAAACGATACGTATTGCGATACGCTGATCGAAAACCGGTATTTTGACATGCATTCGGAAAACTTCGTAACACTCGGAAACCTTGATGATCGTGGTAATGGTGGTGGTAATGATCGTGGTGAAAATAACATTTAAATATTATTATTTTGTCATTATTAAAAGTTTTTATGAAAGCTTAATCAACCATAGTGATTTTGTTGTGTTTTTGCTTTATAAATAAAGAGTTAACTTGATTATAAGTAGTTTATTGTTTAAAAAAACTTCTTGCAATACATATTGCAATATATGCTTTCGCATCGCAATATATCGCAATATGAAACTTCTCTGCAATACCCTCCCCTATTGTTTGGCACCTTAGAACCAGGAATTTTGAAACCTAAAAAGTAAATATGTTTTCTTCAAGAAATGAAAAAGGTAAATATTTGTTGCTCCTTCATAGCTGGGTGTCTGAACGACTGGTGAGAAGGAGCCTGTCAAGAGATCATTAAGTGTATTTACATAGAGAAAACAGTTCTGAAGTGAGGTACGCATGAAGGAGAGTACTCCTGCATCTGCCAAGCAGCTGGTTTACAGATATCCCATTCTTCCAGGGAAGTTTATGAAGTAGTCCTGTCATCAGTGGTTGTGGCCTGGCCTTGAAGGGCTTGAGTTGAAAAGTGTTGTTCCTGAAGATGACTTTTGCAGACATTGTTCGAAATTGAAGATCCTTGATGTCTTCTATGAAGTCTATGCTATGTGAATCTACAGACATGTTGGGTCAAAGTTTGGTCAAGTCTGTCAGTGATCTATCAGAATCATTTATATTAAAAATGATACTTTCACTGACATATGAAACAGGTATTACAAGTAATCAGCCTTAGGGTGTAGGACAGGTGACATGATGTGCACCCCAACAAGAGGAAGCAAGCCAGCAAATGATGTTACACCACTCTTTCTGATGCAAAAGTGTGCATCACAGGAAATGCATACCTGTCAACTCTCACGCATTTGGCGTGAGTCTCACGCTTTATTGACAAATGTCACGCTCTCACGCCTCCAAATAATAATCTCACGCATATCTGGTAGACAAAAATAATTTCAAAATTTATACGCATTTTCGTTCGTTTTTGCGCGTAAAGTTGAACATTGAAAGAACGCCTGAATGAACGAAATGCTAAAACGATGTTTATGCGAATGATTCGGCTTATTATTATTTATTAGCATGCATCTTTTGGTGTCAAAGTAATGCCACCAGAAGGCTCCAAATGCTCCTGAAAATCACTAAACTTCATTTTCGGGGGCGATGGGCTTCGCCCCCCCCAGAGACCCCCAACCAGGGCGTCGCCCTCGACATGACCCCCGCTGGACCCCGGCTTATTTTTTCATTTTTCAGTCTCACTCCAAATCATCTTTAGGGGTTGACAGCTCTGGAAATGTATTTTGGATAACAAAGTTTCTGGGTTAGCAGAAAGATAATCTCTGTTAAACCAACTTCAGTGTCACAGATAGAACCATACTGAGCATTTTTCAGCCAGTTGTGAAAAAATGAATAATTCACCTGATGATGTTACTGAAAATACTTAAATGATCAAGCAAAATCAGGGATTACCTTGAGTCCTGTACTTGAGGGTCCCTGGAACTCACTCTTAATTTTCAGTGGTCCTGGGTCTAGATTTTGGAGGCTCTCTTAGCGCTAAGATAGTCGTAAGTTAATGTTAACGTATGGCACTTACGACTATCTTAATGCTAAGCGAGCTTCGAAAATCTAGGCCCTGGGCTACAAAATGGGGGTCCCAGACATTTAAATGGTATTATTAATACTGTGTTGTAATATTGTTGTAATTCACTTACTGCTATTGTATTGTGTATCATGATCATCACACTGTTAAGTAATTAAATTGCAAATGATACCATAACCCAGCTAATAGCAAACTCAGTGATAACTCATTGTTACTTGATCAAAATTTTTACAAAAAGCATTTGGACTTTTTCTGCGTCCCTGTGGATGCGCTAATCAATTTCTTTGTGTCCATTGTCAAATTTTATGTGTATAGGATGCAGGAATTTGCGTCCTGTAAATCCCTTCAAAATTTAAACTCAAGTTCGATGTGATATATGTTTATATCTTTTGGACTGTTGGGTTTTTTTCAATTTTACTCAGGTTATGGCTGCAATATGTATTGATCAATTGATATTTAGCTCATGATTATTGATCTCTGATCAATATGATTAGCCACTCCAACTGAGCATTACTGCCAATGGACTTTAGACCATTGTTTTCATTTACTCTTCAAATCTTGAACATGTAAAAAAAAATCCTGTTTGTATGTTTCAGGTTGGCGAGAGGATACGAGTGATTTTAGACTGTGAAGACAATACGTTAGCTTTTGAAAAAAATTATGAATTTTTAGGTGAGTCCTTTATATCATGTTAATTCGACTCCCTAATTTGGGCACCAGAAGCCCATCTCTGTGAATTTGAATTCCTGTTTGCAAGGATCATGTTTCTAAGTTACCTTACCTTTGCATGTGGATTTCAAGAAATTTTGTTAGTGTCCTCACTTGGTGATTTCAAGCAGACATACCGCAGTAAAACTGGAATACTGTTCAAAAAGAGCAATAGCATTAAACCTCACTCACTCACTCACTAAAAGTACCACTTACTCACTCACTCAACAAATGTTACTGAGATTGGCATAAATCAACAAACAGATGAAAGTCCCTAAATTCTCCTAAACCATTTCATCCATTTCTTGCTATGCCTTCGCGGTATGCGAAGCAAAGCCTTTTGGCATGATTGTTGATGCAGACGAACATTATCGTTCGATATGCGAAGGGACATAACTCCTTTAATTTTTATAAAAAGAACTTTTCATGATAATAATAATAATTGAATTCTCAAAACGAGTTGGATTTCAATGTCAAAGGTCCTGGGCCCCGTTCCACAAAACAACCGTAGCACTAAGATGATCGTAACTCCCATCCTTTAACATAGACTTACGACAGTATTAGCGCTAAGATGATTGTAACTCCCATACTTTAACATAGACTTACGACAGTGTTAGCGCTAAGATGATCGTAACTCCCATACTTTAACATAGACTTACGGCAGTGTTAGCGCTAAGATGATCGTAACTCCCATACTTTAACATAGACTTACAACAGTGTTAGCGCTGCGATCGCTTTGAGGAACGGGGCCCTGAACTGTCAAGGTCATCCGTACTACCTATTGGAATGTGGTGAAATGGATTCATACCATTTGTGAAACTTTAGAGTAAAGCTTCATATGCATTGGCCATAGATCAATCAAAAGTCTTCAAATTTATCTGAAGGGTAATAATAAATACTGATGATTGTGTCTTTGTTTCAGGTGTAGCTTTTCGTGGTTTACCAGACACACATCTTTACCCTTCTGTATCAGCTGTGTATGGCAACACTGAAGTCTCAATGGTTTACCTTGGTCCGCCGCTGGATGGCTGACGATGTGCTTGTGCTCCCAGGGGAGCCCTACAGACTCTGCAGATAGTGATTATTATAAACTGGGCTCCATGTGCCCTTAAATTCCATTCTTATCAACTGATTGTCGATGGATGACAGAGTGCTTGTCAAGAAGCAGAAGAGAATGTTATCATCTTGTCATCAAGGGCCAATTTGGCTCCCGAAATACCATTCTATTCACATGACCAGTGACAAATTGTTTTTCGTCCTAGAGCAGTGGATGTTCACATCATCAAGGAATCAGAGTGAAAATTCCATTTTTATCATAACCATCAATTTGGTGTTGCTTGTCAAAGAGCTGTGTAAAGTCCACATCTGATTCTCAGCTGACCAAAACAATTCCATAGTAACATCAGGGGACATCTGCCGTCTTGGCAGGAACACTGTCAATAGTGATCGTCATGCCATGTGTGACAGGCTCATATATTCCAGATGTGTCATTATGTGAGATTATTGTCTTAGAAGTGTTGTTGTCACGGCATCTGATTCTATTGATTCATTGTGGGAAATTTGTTTATCTATTACTAGGTTAACCTTGCTTTTGACATCTGTTTTCATAGAGGGGCGGTGGGGTAGCTAAGTGGTTTAACCGTTAGCTCGTCACGCCGAAGACCCAGGTTTATTCCCCACATGGGTACGAGGTGTGAAACCCATTTCTTTTGTCCCCACATCTGTACCATCTTCGATCTGGTGTCCCTGCCGGTAATATTGCTGGAATATTGCTAAAAGCGACCTAAAACCATACTCACTCAATCACTGTTTTCATCGTAGTACAAGGTCCATAATTCAGCATAAGAACCTCATGGCCATTGTTCCATCATCTTAGATTTTGTGTTTCAATATACCAATGGCCAATAAGTTTTATTTCAAAACAGCCACTAGTCGTGTCGAAGTAATAGTTAGTTTGGTTCAATGTATGTTTCCAAATTCATTATAAACAAAAATATATTTTTCAAAACTGTTGCCAGAAGATATCCCAAATCTTCCCTTAAGTGTTGATGAACCATATTTACAGCATTTGTGTTGATCAAAATAAACTGATTGAGTATGATATCCTGCATGCTACTCAGTCATAGCTTTTGTATCAAAATAACATGAGCTCACAATAGCAATAAAGTCGTTGTCAGACTTGCCTATCCTTACGATTTTGGCATAAGGCTTACTATTTTTGGTGCAAAATTTCAACCTTACGATCATACTGAAATTCCTTACGACTTTACAGAGTCATTTACGGTACATAAAGTACTGAAAAATAGAAGTCGAATATTATAAAAAAATAACCTTTGCATCTTCCAGTGCTGGTAAAGTTTATTTCAAAGTGAAACACTTTAACAATGATAATTAGATTGGCACCACCTTTGACTATTAAACACTATATTAAGATTATAACCAGCTATGTTTTTCCTTTATTTCTTGACATTAACATGTCTTACTATCAAATACACCCACCTTACTATTTTATTTAGCTGATCTTACTATTTTTTTTAAAAGGGGGTAGGCAAGTCTGCATTGTCAATTCATGTTGAAGAGACATTCCTTAGGTTAATTATATTAAACATAAATGACTGGTAATATGGTCCAGTGGGTAGAGGTTTTGCCTGGTTATGTTGTACCCAAAGACGTTAGAGTAGCAGTCAGCATTTAGTGATTAAAACAATTACTGGCTAGCTCAAAGTCTGTGTACTGTGTCTGAGCCAGGTATCATTTTTTGCATAGGGCTAGCATTTCAGAACCGGCATTAGCCAGAATGAGAAGAAGCAGAGGGACACAGACATGTATACACATTGTGATATTAGTGTAAGAAGCGTGAGCGGACCCATGAAGATCCGTGTGAGAATTGATCTTCAGCAACCCATGTTTGTTGTAAGAGGCGACTAACGGGATCAGGTGGTCAGGCTCGCTGACTTGGTTGACACATGTCATCGTATTCCAATTACGTAGACCTATCTGATAATGTTGATCACTGGATTGTCTGGTCTAGACTCAATTACTTTATACTGTAATATTGCTGAATGCTGCATTGGTAACACCAAACAAACAAACCAATTGTTAGCAATGTTTGACCCTATGTCCATCACATTGATTACAAGATGAAGATGACTTCTGAAACAGCACTTTGTGGTCTCTGGATATTACAATGAGGCTGCGATTTGATACATGTCCCAAACATATTGATGAGAAAACTATTCAATGTGGCATTAAAACAAATGAACTGACTCATTTTGTCCCAGACATCCTTTTGATGTTGAGTTTGATCACAGAACTATTGTTTATTAATTCATTAAATGCTGATCTAAAATTGTTGCAGTTGATTGGAACAACAGTAGTAGATGACTTAGTTATTTAGAACGCTACCTGAATAGATGACCTGAATTAATAGGAACAGTACCTGAGTAAAAGACCTGAATTAACTGGAATAACACCTGAGTAAATAACCTGTAACTGGAACAATACCTGAGTAGATGACCTGAATTAACTGGAACAACACCTGAGTAGATGACCTGAATTAACTGGAATAATACCTGAGTAGATGACCTGAATTAACTGAAACACCTGAATAGATGACCTGAATTAACTGAAACACCTGAATAGATGACCTGAATTAACTGGAACAACACCTGAGTAGATGACCTGAATTAACTGGAATAATACCTGAGTAGATGACCTGAATTAACTGAAACAACACCTGAATAGATGACCTGAATTAACTGGAACAATACCTGAATAGATGACCTGAATTAACTGGAACAATACCTGAGTAGTTGACCTGAATTAACTGGAATAATACTTGAGTAGATGACCTGAATTAACTGAAACAACACCTGAATAGATGACCTGAATTAACTGGAACAACACCTGAGTAGATGACCTGAATTAACTGGAACTTGTTCATAGAGGCACCTCGTACCCATCTTTATGATTCAAAAGTGACTGTTGATATCTCTGTCCACATTCATTCGCTTGCTCTCCCAAATGATAATTTATATGTTTGACTTGATCAGAAAGTGACCCATAGCAGCATAATATCCAGCATACAAGGAATGAGAAGAGGTATTAGCAGAATCCTGAGGTTAAGGTGGAAAAAAATGTACTCTGTTGCTGTCCTTTTCTGTTTCTGTTATGTTGGAGTAGTCTCCCTTTGTTCAGTAAATGAATCCTGGTTATAATCCCTTGGTGATGAATATTAAACATTAACCAGCTTATGAGAACTGTTTCTATCCATCTTTCACATGACACTGTGCGCAAGAAATTAACAGGCATTAATCTAAAGTTAATTGAAGTGTTTCAAATTGTTTCTATTTCAAGTTCACATCAAAATTAAGGCATTATGGGAACCTTTCTAGTCCTAAAATTAGGACTCGTCAACAGACCATTTAAGGAATGGATTTCCAGTCATCTCAGGCAATGCATTTCGAATTTGCATTCCTTAGTTTTACCCCATCCCATTAATTGTGAATTCAAATCCAGGATTTCCCAAGGGTATGATGTTTGGTTGGTCTGCACCATACCCATGATTGCTTGTTTGTAGTAAAGCTGTATACTTCCATCTTTCACACTGAACTTTTAACTTTGCAAAGATCGATGCTCATGCTGTTGATCACTGCATTGTCTGGTCCAGACTCGATTATTTACAGATCACTGCCATATAGCTGGAATATTGCTGAGTGTGGCATGAAACTAAACTCACTCACTCAATGAAGTTATAACTGAAATACTGTTGAAAGCTCTTAAAACACATGACCTTCTCTCAAAGCAGATCAGGGGCGGTGGGGTAGCCTAGTGGTTAAAGCCTTCGCTCATCACGCCGAAGACCCGGGTTCGATTCCCCACCATTTCTGGTGTCCCCCTGCCATGATGTTGCTGGAATATTGCAAAAAGCGGCGTAAAATTAAACTCACTCACTCTCTTATTCAAAGCAGACCATTACCAAACCATATTGACCAAAGAATAGCATTGTGTACCCAGTGTCTCTAAACACATGATTTTATCAGTCAGTTGAACGTTTGTTGAGGTTTTGTGAATTTTTTTACATCAGTAAAACGACATGCCATATATTTGAACTTGTGATGGAAAGGAACGCTACTTGTGAAATAAACCCATTGGAGAGGCAAACGCGGGGGATAACTTTCACTAAAGAGTTATCTTCCTTTGTGTAGTTGCCCTGCCTTTGAAATCAGCTACAGTTTCAACTCAATCTGGAATAATCTGCAGTTGAAACATATTTAATATCACAAAAGCAATAAATGATATCTTTTGGGTGGATTAGACTGTCCACAAGAATAGATTTTAAGTCTTTGCAAGGAACATTTCGAGCAAATTTCGCTGAAACGACACAAGTTGCCTGCTGTCTCTCATGGTGGATAAGATAGTACTGACAGATGTTTTCACACAATTAATGATGTTTTTCCTGCTGTGTTTCTATGTTCTGAGCAGACCTGGTGATAAAGGTCTGTTCCTGTGTGATTTCCTTATTTAAGAGGAGGTGTTCCAGCTACTATGGTCTCCAGTCTGGAATAAGGTCTGTTCCAGAATAGATTACCAAATTAACATGAATGCATTTTGTGGGCGTCTTGAAATGTAAATTTCCAAGGTAACTGGACGAGAGCAAAATGTGTCTGAAATGACACATTGACAACACATTCCTGCATTGTTACCACATTTTTTAAATATGTTTTAGATATTTTGCTTGAAAATGGTCCAGAAAATTCACAGAGTTGACTCCAAATGAGAATAACTTTTTTCAGCCACACTACCTGGATATTGCTGGAATAATTCTAACAAATCCCTGAACTCAAAAAACATCTTTTCGGCTTTAACAGTTCTTGTCCGTGAACCTAGACATTGGAACACCTTCTCCGTTTTACTGTCATCTCATTATTGTAAATGTATCCTTTACATATTCACTGGACTTCTTGTCAGGATTGACCTTGAAACAGGAAGTTTGTATTATATTGTCAGCTTGATCATGTTGATCGACCGTGTATATTTTATATTTCTAAGTCATAGTGTTTGTGTATGCCAATCTGAATGACATCTGCTTAAATAGTCAAGTGCTAAATGGTGTGTGTGTTGTTTTTATTAACGGAGGTCATCCACTGGAAAAAGAGATGGCTCTGAGTTTTAGTCCTATACCAGCCTTTCTCAGGTTATTCAGCACCTCAATAGTCTTTTGATATTATCACTTACATCTGTATCAGTTTATGGTCCCCATCCACAATAGGTTTGTAAAGTTACAATCTGTCGTAACTCTATAGGCTGTCTGCACAGGACATCGACCCTTGGGTGAAATGTCACTGTTTAGTTATGGAAAAAGGCCAACGTCCTGTCCATTTGACCTGTTACCAATTAACCGGGGTTTAAATAGGACAGAAATAACCCAGTGTTTTCCACAAGGCGATTATGCGCTTCAGAGCACAGACAGCAGGAGAAAGTACTGTATTTCGTCCATTGTATTTCGTATACGAAATCATCCCACATGATGTAGGTGAGATGCAGTATCTGCAAACTCGCTGGTGCTGATTTGTCTACTCATAAGATCATGTCTTAGGTCATCCAGGCGACGTTCCAAGTCCCTGTATTTCATTTTCTTCAATGGACGTTTTTGTCCACCGCCAAACTGCAACAGACAGATTCAGTGTGAGTCTGCTCTTTAGTAAGAAATTTGATAATTTAAAAAATATTTGGGTGGGCCTTTCCCACCAATCTTTTCAGACTACAGTGTGGCCCTTCTAGATGGCTGTTGGTGTAGGGGCCATCAGAACTGTGGTGGTTCCTCTGGGATCTATGGAGGTCACCTCGATCCAGTAGCTGGTGATGTAATCACTGATGTCTCGGCAGCGTGGGTTCTTTCCTTATATATCCAAATTGAATTAAATATGTTCATCATTGTAAAATCCACTCTTATATAATGACATTTTGAGTGAACTATGTTCACGCCTTACGCGATGCTCTCATTATCAAAAATCTTAAAATAACACTTACTAGCGGATTAGCGTGACATGAGCAACACCTCAACGTCAAAGTTTACCGTGCTTCGACTTCGTGTCCATAGCGAAATTTCGAAAGGTCGACTCTTTGTCTATAAGCCCTCTAATTTATGATAGGCTTGGGAATGTGGCAGTGCTACAAACGTTTGGCGGATCAGGACCCTGGCTTTCCTCCTGCCTCGATCAGGAATACTCACTCAAAAATATTAAATCTTATGTCAAGGAAATCATTATGCAAATACAGTCAAATCCCGATGAGTCGAATCGCTGGGGACCAAGTAATAAATTCGACTTATCGATGTATTCGAGACAAAGGTATGTCTATGAGGGTAGAAAAAAAGATGATCCAGTCCTAATTCCTCCGCCTAAGCATTTGTTTATCTAATGATTTCCATATCACTAATAGGGGCACCTTAACAGTTCCAGTCTGATTAGCACAGACAGTGATTTCCGTAAAATACACACACATGCAGGCTCAGTCATTCTCTCAAACACACCTCTGCAGAAGCGAGGATAATATGAAATTTCATTGATACGTTTTAAACTAGGAGAGCTTCATACATGGCTGCACCTTATGTTTTAATCGTTATGTTTACACATTATCACAGTAGTATTCAGTTATCCAAGCAATCGTGTGCTAACACCATGGTGTCACAGTGATATATCACATATCCCGGTTAGAACTGGTCTTAGCAACTCATGCTTGTAAGACGGAACTAACTTGTCATTTGAATCCCATTTGCACATATGGTTGCTCATGATGTTGAGCACTGGATTGTCCGGTCCAGACTCAATTATTTACACACTGCCACCACATCGTTCGAATATGGTTAAACAACAAACCAAACTATCATGCAGTTAAGCAGAATGACTGTAATTACAGTAAGGACAATCAACGAATACTTGCTAATCAAGGCCTTGGAAAGCCAAGGCAGAAACAAGAAGTTGATAATAATAAATCTCAGTGTGTATACTAAATGGACGAAAGTATGCCTTGTGCTGCACAGCCAGATCGATACTGATCGGATTTAAGGGGCGAAATATTTATACTGAAGGATACTGGTAGTCAGACATGGCTCTGATTTATATTCTATTTGCTCACACCTAGTCACATACATAACTGTCTTTACTCCTTGGCTAAATGTAGAGATAGCATGAAAATCAGGTGATATGATACACCTGGCCTTCTCACCCATACTGTATAACTTAACCATGTTGAACTCCAGTGCTTGTCACCATCCATTAGACCATGTGGCCAATACTCATGCAGTAATATGAACAGGTGGACACTGTTTCAACAGTGGGTTAACCTTGTTTGTTTTTAGTAACCTGATATATTCTGTGGCTAGTTCTATATCAGCAAGAATGTCTGGAGGGTGGGAGGTGTCATAGTAATTAGTGGATACCACTTTACTGCTGCTCAGAGATCCCAAAAGATGAGGACTTTTCTAGCATTTGGGCTAGGACTATCTTGGCAGTCATTTCTCCAAGACCTTCCCTCTTCTATGGACATGGTGTGCAACAACCATCTTGGTAGTCATTGCTCCAAGTCCTCCCCTCTTCATCTATGGACATGGTGGGCAACAAATACAACCATCTTGGTAGTCATTGCTCCAAGTCTTTCCCTCATCTATGGACATGGTGTGCAACAAATACAACCATCTTGGTAGTCATTGCTCCAAGTCCTTCCCTCATCTATGGACATGGTGTG